CTTTCAGTTCTTCTATAATATTGCCATAGTTAAGAGTTATGCGGGATTTCTGATTACGTGGGTATAAGTATGATTTGCTCAATAAACCGGTTAAAACAATATCGTGATCAGTAACACTACTATGGCAGACAACAGAGGTGGCTTTACGTTTAGATCGGACAAAGACATGATCAAGACAAGAATTTCCCCGTGTGGGCTTGTTAACCGCAGGAAATAAGGCATGTTCTGCCATGAGACAAATATACGGTGCACTTAGATCAGTGTTGTTTATATTAATGTTAATGTCACCGGTGAGAATAAATTCGGATTTGTGTTTGGTAATTTCTAATAAGGACTCTAGTGAGCTTAAAAAAGGTGAGATATTCGAAAACGAAGGTGGACGATAAATGCCTAGGATAGATGGCTGATTAGGTATATCTACGCCTAAACAGTTTGCATCTTGGAGTTCAGGTTCATAAAAGGTAGGGTTTAGTTCCGATTTCACAAAAGCGACAACGCCTCCAGCTTGGTTGATATATTTTTCCGTACGATAGCAGGTGTAACCTTCGAGTGAATGGATTAGAGAATTTTCATTTAACCAGCATTCCGTTAAGATGAGAATATCAAATTTGATGTCAAATCGCCCGAGAGAGATGATAAAATTATCAAAATTCTTTTGTATGCTTCTTATATTAAAAGTGAGTATTTTAAATGTATACAGGTCATTTAGTACTTTTTTACACAATTCCGGGTAGTCTAATGTGTGGCATTCTACATTACAGGTATCATCTATATCCTGAGCTATCTGTAAGGGATTCATTTTAAAAGTCATATTTATGTAACGTCTTATTCATAAAACAGATGAGAAAAACCACACATTTGTAGATTAAGTAAGTTTGATGTCGCAGAGGGAACTGAGTAACACAAATAAAGTTAACTGGTGTTTTGTGACCTGAGATCTGATGTGAATACTCCATATAAGAGTCGGGACTAATTGCAGATAAAAATTCATATAAACAAGTTCGGCTACTACATGTCAAGATGTTCTGAGGTTGTTGGTAGTGTTGTGAAGAAGAAACAAGTGCATTAGAGTGTTGCTGTAGGTATAAGTATGAAGTGAGAGTTTTCAATTTGTTTTTTGTAACGAGTACTGGAGTTATACTGTTAGTTAACATGAAGCTTAGTGAACATTTAGTACAGTTCATTTGTATATTTAGCTGCTTGCAATTTCTATTTGACATGCGTAAGAGAAAGAAGCCAACTAATAATAACATGTGTTCGGTACGATATTTTGACATAAGTACTAAGCGTATAGCATAATAATTAATAGTAGTAATTATAGTCAAACGAACAGCATATACATTCATATGTAAGTTAATTAATTTAACTTGAAAAAATAATACTCTAAGGACTTTTCTTATGTTCAATTTACCACAATTTAAAAGAGCAATTAATAATAACAAAATGGTTAGGTACATACTATAGTAACAGTTTAAATATGTTCTTATTGATAATTTGTTAGTGATTAAAGCACAGTTATGCTCCAGCTTTTTCTCTAAACAAACAGCATAATACACATTCATATATAAATTATTAAATTTAACTTGAAAACTTAATATTATGAGATCTTTCCTTAAGATTAACTTACCAAAATTTAAAAGAGCAATTAATAATAACAAAAATAAAATGTACATACTAATGTAGCAGGCTGTATCTGTTAATGGAAAGCTGATAATTTTAGCGGGGACTTGACGCGGCAGCAGCTGACTGAGCAGGAGGCCGGGGGCTCGATGAGGATGTGTTAACAGCCAGGTAGCGATCCAGGTCAGAGTGGCGGCGAATATGAATGGGCCCCGCACCGTCCCTTTTGCGGACGAAGATGTTTCCTCCGTTGGTCCAGCAGTGTTTGTATTCGAGTTGTTTAGCACGAATTCTTGTTTCTCGAAATAACTGTCGATTTTCTCGGGTCAGTCGATCGTTGACGTAAATCGTGGATTCTGAGTTGTTGGGGTCAATGTCCTTTGCGTTGAGATTGCGTCTTGTTTTGGCCGATTTAATAAACTCGTCTCGTTTTTGTTTGCGTGTGAATCGCACCACGATGGGCCGAGGTAGTTGCTTATGATCTGTAGCTTTAGGTGGGCGGCCAATGCTAGCCCTCTTGACGTCGTCCAAATCAGCCTCGTTAAGTGTGACTCCGATCTTGCATGCAGTTGTCAGCACCACGTGATATAGGTTTTCCATTTTGTGTTCTGAGACACCGACGATCTCGATCTCGTTACGGAGCTGTGCTTGTGACTGAATATTTAATTGTTCTTGTAGAAGTTGTATTGTGTTTTCTTGTTCCAAGTTACGTTCTTCTAGGTAAGTAATTTTTTGGTTCGATTGAAACAGCTGATTGGTGATCTCATCTAAGCGCTCGTTACAGTTTGAGATAGAGTTGACTGCTTGTGTTAATTGCTGTTTCAGTGAAGCCATTTCTTCCCGACATTGGCGTAATTCTAAGGTGAGGGCTTGCATATCAGAGGGGTTTCGAACCATCAAGGCCTCTGGGTCGTGGCGTGAGGTGGCGGGAGTGGCCGACTTATCACCGCTTTTTTTGTTGACAGTACATTTGCAGTCCGGGCATATCCAAGTTGCCTTATCTTGAGGAGCCTTACCATCTCCATTGAGGCATTGCAGGTGAAAGGTTTTGTTGCAGGTCTTGTATGTACATCCAATGTAGTTTTTGTCAGAAATATAGTTCTGGCAAACAGAACATGTCTTCGTTCCCGAGCGTGTAGGCCGCATTTTATTATGACGAACGTAGAACACAAATACTTGATTCACTAAGCGCCAAAATTAAGTCCGCGAGCGGCCGGAGGGTTGAATGACCTTAGCGCGCGGGCTATCCGCGTCGCGTGAAGCGTCCTGTGTGCGAGCGCGAGGACGAGATTTTAAAGTGAATTAGTGAATTGGCGTTTAGTTTTTATGTTATTCTGAGTTGATCACTACAAGGGTTAGATGTTGCACTTTCGATTGGTATAACACTCAAGTAGATTTGTTAACAAAATACCACTTATAGTTCCAAAATACTGGACTGTCCTATCGATGACATTGACAGTGGGGCGCCACCGTCAATACCGGATCGCTGGTTCCGATTTTTGCCATGTTGGAAACCATATAGTTGAACGATGGTAGCGCCCCCCTGTCATTGAGTTTGGTGGGACAGTTCAGCGTGGGTCATCTATACTATATTTTTAAGAACAATAATCATAATCATCATTTCAGCCACAGGACGTTAAGTGCTGAACATAGGCATCCCCCAATAAAAGTAATTAATAAAAACTGAACCAAAGAAACCCGTACTTGCAATTGCTTCTTTCATAGTTAACAATGTTTCTCGCGTAATATTTCCGACTTTCCCTTTTATCTCCCTTTGATGTCCGACGATATCTGCCATCACCAGACGAGGGTCGCAGCGGAAAGAAAACGTCTAGACAAATCGTTTTTCGTGTCCTTAATTGGGTCTTTATTGGCGCCTTTTATTCGCGTGTTTTTTGAATATTCAAACGTACATCTATCCATATAAAAGCGAAAGGTCACTGACTGACTCACTCATCACGAAATTGCAGAAACTACAAGTGCTAGGACTCTCAAATTTTACATGGGGGTTCATTTTAGAACTTAGGTGCTCACTAAGACGGGATTTTGTAAAATCCAACCCCTAAATGGGTTATTTTATTCATTTTGAGCTTGAATGCTGTCGTTTGTAACAAGCCGTCAGTTGATTTCACAGTGGTAAAAAATCTTTTTTTAATATTAAACTATTCTGAAACTGTCTTTCCTTGTAACTAAATGTAATTTTCAGGCGCCCTACTTACATAAAAATTGGTTGCCCGTATAATATTTGATTTCATTCCCTCAATGATTTATTTTTGCAAAAAAAAAATCATTTGTTCTTTTCGTGCTTACTTATCCCATCTCCCACCAACACCTAATCGATAATGCTTGAATGGTTTACAAATGAAAACGTAACTAACAGAGTTAAGTACTTTCGTTTCTAAAAATATGAATTTCACGACCAAATTAAGTGGTTTAGGAATGCAGACCGTATCAGACAGATAAAGTTAAGTCTATAATATCAGTATGAACGTGACGTCGTATCTCAATAACTTGTCTAAAAGTCTTTCAGTTCTCGACTCGAGTACATTATTATGTTTTGTGAATGCTACATGTCATCAAGTACAATCAACAGCATTCAGATAAACATTTTTGTTGAATAATCGTTCTTATTTCATCTGAATAAGAGCCTACGTTTTAGTTTTATGTGCTCTCGTCCGTACATCCCTTTATCATTTCCAACGCATGCCCGAAGGAATCCACGCCCTCGCAAAAATACCAAGACGCCGGCACACAAAAAACGTCCCAGTTTCATACAAAACAACGGGCTACGCGCCAGTCATTGTGGGGTGACCTCCACCATAGTTCGGAGGCAACAGCCAGACCAATTGATGAAGTTAATTTGATAGCTGTATACCAAAAACACTAAGCCTAGGCGCAAAACACCGACTTTTAGTTGGCAGATAGTTGGGTTGGGCTGTTAATCAGTATGGGCATGTATGAAAGTGCGCACATTATACCGATTTGATATCGGCCGATTCTTCATACAAATTAGAATCGGACCCAACTATCGGCCAACTAAAAGTCCGTGCTCTACGCTCTAGGCTTAGGGTTACGATCCGCACCGACTCCGCACGGGTGCAATGTACCTACCTGAAATGTAAAAAATACTTCATCTTTATTTCGCCCATTTGCGACGACACTGTGACATCTCGAGATATACGATTTTTTGTTTTACCGAAATTCTGAACCGCATTCTTGCGTTCTATTATCTCCAAAAACAGAGTATTTGTTACTCCAAANACACTCAAGTAGATTTGTTAACAAAATACCACTTTGCGAGATTTTTTAACGACGAGCGCCACGAGGTGCGTGTGCACGCTGCGCTGTCGCGAGTCCGAGTCCTTAACTAACTAACTTACAACTTGTTCAGGTGTCCACGAGTCGAGGTTGACGCTCTTGACCTTGGAGATGTGGACGCCCAGGTTGCGGTGGATGCCGGCGCACCGGATGCACAGGAAGATGCCCAGGTTCCATGACGCCCAGCGAGGACCTGGTAAAGGATTCATCATATAAAATACCAGTCAAATGAAGTTGAATTTGCAAAAGATGACGTGCCAAACATCTTCAGGTCATTTGCTGCAGGCACTGCAATGCACAGGAGCACGGCATTTTTAATGAGGAAAATGGAAGATTTGGATACTCTTTAAAGATTAAAGATGGGTTGGGGAGTTGTAGTCTGCCAGGACTACACTGTTGTACACTTCCTATATGAAAGATTTAAATATAGTTTACTAAAAACAATGTGTATCCTTTATTATGTCACCTTGATGATTTCAGAGATAAAGAAGGCAACTTAAAGTTTTTAAACATTCTTGTCGTGCCTTTCGCCACTATCAATCGTCTCGCTCTGCTGAACCATTAGTATTTGACCATTGAGTTATAATGTACTACGTAGTAATATTACTTCAATGTATTTGACCCGTATTGCTTCGATTACGGTGAATAATACGCTCGTTGACATCGGACTTCTTCAAGGCAAGGTATATTCATATTGATACTGGGACTGGGCAAGATAGAGCGTACGAAGTTTGTAAAACAAAGAAAAGACACGAATCTATTTCCCATACTTTCCCACGACTAGGAATGCGTGGATGACCTTTTAACTGATCGTTTGCAGTAACCAATTTATAACTGAAAAGAAGTTGCAGTTCTTTCAAAGTTCTGATGCCTCCTCAATACCTTCAACGGTATGCTTTTCATTTGGGTTGAATAAAGTTCTTTTTTTGCTTTTTTGGGCCACCAACTAGACTCGTTCTTTTCGTTAGCATTTTGTCGCCTCTTGCCATCTGACGTTTAGGCCCGGTTTCCACTAAAGCGGAGAGGAGAGGAAGAACCAGTCAGATTTCATAATTTCCACGTAACCTCTCCGATCATCATCGGTTCGGAAATCTGATTGGTTATTTAAACACTTCCGATTCCGATTCGACTTAAAAATCGGGCCTTATAGCGACCGCTCCACTCTAGTCTCCTATCACAGAAACACGTCTTTACAAAAGCTTCTGTTGTTTTTATCAGCAGTTCCATCAGAAGTAAACAAATACATCCTGTAAATTTATACAGCGCTAAGTAATTGGCGTTTGCTTTAATCAAATTGGACGCGGTGTCTTTCCTTATTTTGTTAAAAAGGTTTTCCTGGAGTTAAGAGTGGCTCTTCATGTTTTATTTATCCCTGAGATAATAGTAGCACTGTGACGTTTTTATTATCTTTATCCTTTGCGATCTTAATTCCCACTTAAGCCTTAGGGTGCGTTCAATTTACCCAGCACCTTTGATTTCTTTGCTAATTCTTTGTTTATGGAAAAAAAGCCACTCACGGTTCTCGAATAGCGCGAAAAACTTTCGACTTCGAATCGTTTGCGTTTTACAACATAGCACTCTAGTATGTTACAAATATGATATACGTGATACGTCATTTACTAACATAAAGCAAAATCGATAGCATGTTGTTATGGACGAAGAAAACAATAGACCATTAAATCATATGGTGCCTTTTTCAACGTGAAAAATTGTCGACAAATAGATCACTTACTACTACCACAGTGTTGTAGAAGTATCGATAGTTTCTCGAATTTGAGACTTGGATAATACTGACATAATCATATGATATTTAACCAATAAAACTAATTTAAGTACCTAGTAACTTTTTTATTTCATTAATATTTTCGCTAGGTATTTTACTTTTTGACACTAATCCATAAAATTGTATGCAACTATTGCAATACTTTTTAATCAATGGACAAAAAAAAAATTAGTTGTACAGTTTTTTTTTTATTGATACATTGTAGATACCTACTACAAATTACACTATCGGAAGTGTACTACCGATATGATATTATGACATCACTAACAATGTTTCATTGCCGCGCGCCGCAAAGGTTCTCTGACCCATGACCTTTGGAAATGCAAAAAGGTGGAAACCCTTTGATACTAAGCCAAGGATTAAAGCCATGTTTAGTCTGATAAAGCTAAATTTAATTTATTTACCTGTTGGTTGTGTTGCTTTAGTACATAATCAATTACAAAATTTACTACCTATTCTTTTTCATATAAAGTCATCACATTTTTTTTGTAATTTTTAATTTAAATACATAGCATAATAATATAATAACATGTAGCTATGTGTCTCACAATATTTCTATTGAAACAAGCATTTGAAGGGTTTAAATGAGTAGTCATTCATTGTATACGCCCCCAGGCTAATGGTGATACCATACAAATTAATGGTATATTTTACTTAGAGAATCAGACTGATGATAGTAGAAGTGTAGATATTTAGTAATTGATGATGAAATAATTGAATTTATCTTTTTTATCATAACTTGCAGGTAAGTAACATAGAATTTGTTGTATATTAACTTTTTATTAGTGCTGATAGCAGCAGTAATAAATTGGATACAATGTAAAACTTCTTGGAACTAAAAAATAATTGAAGTGCTTTAATTAATATTATGTTGGCTGTTAAAGTAATAGTTTAGTTTGCCTAGGAAGTAAATGTTGAATAGCCTGTAAAAATCGATCCCCACAAAAAAGACAGCTGAAAAGTGAAAGAAAAAAACAAAGACCAAAAAGAAATATTTTGTTTGCATATTTAATTTAACCCATTATAGACTGAGTTTTCTTTCTTAAAGTGTCAGATTTTTGTTGTTTTAAATATGTTCATAAATAAGGTCTACATAATGCTATACAAGCATTAAAAAAATGATTCGACCTGTAATCTAGAAAAAAAAAATGCTGGTACCATATGGTACCGCTAGCCTCTTACCGTGTCAGTCGGTTAAATAAATAAATAGTTTCATTACAATAAAAGCTATTTTCTCAATAAATTATGGAAAGCCCAATTATTCCTATTAAAAAAGGAAATGATGCTATAATTTGCCTTTGGAGACTGACATAATATGATTGGCTAATAAATTAGATGCTGACCTTGGCATCCATTTCATCATTTAGGCAAACAAAAAGTAATTTGCCGTTTCCTCAAACTAACTGTTACAAAATTGGAAGACAAGGCCTTTTTTCATTGTTTGAACCTTTTTTTACAAATTTAAAAATGTAAATATAAAGAGGAAACAGGTAAGAGGAGAAAAAACACCTATAAAGGTGAGAGAAACTATGACTTAACTTTGTGACAAAATGTGGGTTTATGATTTACTGGAGTTGACTCCAGTAAATAAGTTGTTAAGCTTGAGCTTAACATAAATGCTATTGATATTTTTACAGAAATGTGGATGAGTTGTGAGTGACTAACTATGCAGGTTTACACAACTGAATCTTCAATTATTATTTATATCAGACAACAAAAAAGGTTATTATCATGCTAATAAAAATTTTATTAGTTGTATAATCATGATTGAAAAAAAAAAAGAATTTTGTTGCACAATTTTACTGCTTATTTATTAGTAGGAAACCAGTTTTTGCAATAATTTAATTTAATTTAACTTTTTTATAATTAGAATATCTCAACAGGAAATCTGATTGCAGTTTAGAAATATACAATTAATTAAGAAAGGAAGTAGATTATTTTGATGTATAAATTGAAATAACACTAAGTTTACTTCCTTTTTACCTCCCCTAATTAATAAAAAAGCCTAAAAGAACATTTCAAAGTATCCAGGAACAGTCTTGTATTTACTCCAAATCTCCAGATTAGTATTTCTATCTATTCTTTCTTATTCTACTAGCCTTTCAACTGTAGGTACATGGATGGAGTTGGATTGTTTCTTTATAAGATTCATTGAGGTTAATGGAATTAATTTCCGATACAGAGTGCTGACCCGACCCAGATGATGTACTGGGCTCCTAAAGTGCACGTAATTTGGCCTGGCATTGATAACACAGCAATTATTCGCGAATAAATGACTCACTGAATACGTTACAATATTTTTGAGGAAGGTTCAAGGACCTCTACACATTATAACCACTGTGAAGTAAAACTGAACAAACAAAACATTAGAAAGTCAACTAGGACAACAGAAGCTCGCGGATTATGAGTAATTCCTATGAAAACAGTAAAAATAAAAAATACCTTTCGCGTCACAGTCGACACAGTATTTGTTGTCTTCATCCTTCAGCATCTGCATTAGTATGTTCTGACATCGATCCTGGATTTGTTTGGCTCGATCTTTTTCACTTTTTGAAGTCATTTCTGTGAAGTATTCTATTTAAACGATAATACTTTCAACGAAAATGGGTGTAATGCTTGTTTGTTGAAGGAAAGAGAGAGACCATAGACGAAATTGACAGGACAAAGATGATGAGGTGTATTGTCAAATGTCAAAATCATTTGTCTATGATTTTACTTCAAAATTTTGATAATAGATGGCGTTAAAATCACTTAATAGGGATGTGATATAATCGATTATGTTTTAAAAGAAAATTGATTAAACACCATGAAACTATAGATAAAAATGGAGGCCACACTCCGAATACCTACTTGAAGCACAACCTATGTATCACTATCTCGCTCTTTGTGGGCAGACTCTCTCTTTTTAAATAAACAAAAAATATAAATTTGCTCAAAGTCAATGAAACTCAATGTAAAATCTTTATTTCTTGACATAGGTATCATTAAATGATAAGTGTAAATACTGGTAAAACATTTTAGGAAGAAATTACTGTGAAAAATGTGATTTTTTTTTACAATTATCCAATGTCGGAAATCACGAAATAAACACTTACACGTGGAATCTTAAGTCCCTTCGGGGACACCACGTACTACCGCAACCACGCACTACAAAATTTTGCACCATTTCTTGTGATAAAACAATGATTATGATTATGTCTTGTAAAAAATCTCAAACGAAATTAACTGCATAATAAACAAAATAGTAAACAACCGCCATGATGGGCCGGATTGGGCCGATGTTGCCACATGGTACCGATTCCCCAGGAATTAGTATTGTAATTCCCTGATTCGCCAACACATTATGCATAAACGGCCGACAATTTTGTGATTTTTAATTTAACTAGGTAATCGTAGTTCAAATATTTAATTATTTATTTGTTTAACTTCTGATTTGGTTAGTGAATTGGCTATTTCGAAGAATTTACTAGGAGATTTAAATAAGGGGATAGCAATACTACAGTCCACACTAAAAAGAGAGATCGGCCCACAGAGAGCGAGATAGAGATAAGTAGGTATTTGACTCAAGTTGTTGTTCCAAGTGTGGCCTCCATTTTTATCTTTAGCTTCATGTTAAACACCAACTCTGACGTTAATCATCTGCACAATATTAAAATCTAGTGGTCTAGTGTTTTTCACTTGACCAAAGAAGCCACTCGTTTGAAATGGATGATTATGGATAAGTTACACTTTATTTATAGCCTGACCAGGAACATAAAAACCCTCGCCATGTTGCGGAAAACTAATGGTGCTAATTTCTTTTAATGGCAACAGTTACTGAAAACTTCATTAACATGTCACCTTGCATGTCAGTCTATTGCTGTCAAAGTGTAAACAAACTTTATTTTAAATGTGTGCAATTGATTTTGTGAATTAAATTGCTAAAATATTTTTATAGTCGTGAAANACGTACATATGCTTTTTTATTTTTATTTTAGCCAAGGTGGCCAATAACTATGTACAGGCCAATTACTATAGCAATCACCCTAGGCTTTTCTAAAATAACAATTTAGCCTGTTTCTAGTAGCAGCTGGTGTATAGGCTCAAGATGATGTTGAAACAGGCTGGTGGCTGAAGTTTTTTTGTCTAGCTCTAGTTTTGGTTCAGTGGTAATACAATTTTCCCCTTATTCGTATTATCTGCCAATAACGGTAGTTATCACCGTGACGACATTTTGTAGGTGTCGTGTACCAATTTATTTTTTTATTATTTTTTCTTTGGTGTAGATTCATGCTAGAACAGTTAAGTTTGTCGATTTTTAAGATAATGTGTATGCACATTATCTTACGCCAAATTCATTACTCACCAACTCCTGAGTTTTTCACCAGACATCCTAAACAAAGTAACATTTATTTGTGATAGATTGAATTTTGAAATTGTGTCACGGAGAAAAAAAATCGGAGGAAAGCGATTTCGGAATCAGATCTGTCACGACGTATATTACTTTGCCTAGGACCCTGATCTTTTGTGGGTTGTATTGTTCGTCAGCTAATGCTCGTTTTCTATATTCAATCCAAATCCGTCCGTCAACTGTTTTTCGATGTATTTTTTACATTTTCATATTGTTTATAACACTATTTAAACAATATTAAGGTGTGATAGTAATAAGGGTGCGGTTACGCATCAAAAATATGGATTGATCGGAAAACATGTTCAAAGATAGTTGCAATCCTGATTTGGACACAGATTGAATAAGGGAAACAGGCGTAAGAGAAGTGTGTACTGAAAATTCCGAATCCGTTATTTAAACCTAGGCGCAGGCCACCGACTTTTAGCTAGCCGATAGTTGAGTCGGGCTGTTTATCAGTATGGAAATGTATGAAAGCACAATACACCGATTTGGAATCGGCCAATTCTTCATACAAATTAGAATCCGGCCTGTAGTCTGCGGCTAGGCTAACTGTAAACTTCTCCCTTATTAATAAAAAGTTACACCTAGGATGAACTCTGGATTAAAATGATATTTCCATACTAAATGACAATTCAAGCCAGAGTTCAACTAGGGTGTCTTCGTCGTCATTTCAGCCAAATGACGTCCACTGCTGGACAAAAGCCTTCCCCAAGGTTTTCCATAATGAACGGTCCTGCGCTGCAGTCATCCAGGCTCTTCCCGCGACCTTCACCAGATCGTCGGTTCACCTAGTAGGAGGCCTGCCCACGCTACGTCTTCCAGCCCGTATTCGCCACTCGAGAACTTTTCTGCCCTAACGGCCATCGTCTTTACGAGCTATGTGCCCCGCCCACTGCCACTTGATTTTAGCAACTAGGGTGTAACTTTTATTAATCATGGGTTTATGCCCGTTTTCACCATCAATCCCTAATTTTTAAGTGACCCCTATGAAAACAAAACACCTGTTATGTGTTACCACCTATGGTAACACATGACCCCCCCTAGGTCTCTTTAAAATTAGGGATTGATGTTGAAAACCGGGATTAGTGTTTTCTTCACAATTTTTTTTTGATGATTCTGCTTCATGGCAATCTGTTTTTCAACAATAAGCCACTTCTTTGGTTGATTCCTCAGATTATGTTTTCTTCGAGAGCCATACTTGTGTGAAAATTCATTTCACACGACTCTCTTGATGTCAGGTGGTAAATCTTTTATGTAGGCTCGGTATGTCATTTCTCTTTAGCCGGGTGTGCTGAAGAGCGCCTTCCCCNAAGGGTTCGGACAATATTTTCATTGAATAATGTTTCCGACAAAGGTTGTCAAATTGACTGACATGTTTATCGTATAGTACAGTCCACTATGAAAATTAGCTGTAGTTTGTTTCAACTACCTATTTCAAAGTTTTTTGTCACTTTCTCAGTTTTGAATTTTATGGAATTGGGAAAGAAGTACCGAGTTTGAAGCGTTCATGAGCAGACATTGCAGTTGAATATTCAAGTTCTGAATTTGATTATTGATGAATAATAAAATAAATCCTACTAGCTCGATTGATGATTTCATTTAATTTATTTAAACCAGGTTACCTTTAATAATATTTTTTCGTTAATTTATGAAAATATCAAATTAGCCCGTAATCCTGAATCCTGATACATAAATTTAGCCCATTAATTTAACACAGGTACGACTGTACTCAGTGTTGCACTATCAAATGCAATTGACGCGCCTCTATGCCAGGGTTTTTATGTTCCTGGTCAGGCTATATACTTTTCTTATTTACTCATTGAGGTCATTTACTTATGTAGGTACTATTGAGAAAGCAATAAACGTATTGAGTATTGATTGAGTATCTTATTTATTTAAGTTCTCTCTTCGTCTTAAATTGGTCGATTATCTGCAAACGTAATTTATGCCGGATGTACTTGTATTGTATTAGAACCAACATACTTAAGTTGGCAGCATGATATGGATTACTGTACATAAAGATTTGTGTACTTTACGCTTGAATATAATAATTAAACAAACAGTACAGGGTTCATTTTAGATAATTAAATATTATCCGCTTCTCTTCGACTCGATTTTTCAATCACATCTCTGCACCTCACTAGTGTCACTGTCATTATTGTTGCGCACAGTTGTGTCAAAAATATTACAGCTGTTCGTTCAGTTTCGTGTTTTGAAAACAAAAAATTGTGTTAAAAAAATCTGCGGGCATCGTGTGATTTTTCAAGCACAACAATCTTTAGCGTTTGTTGTAATAGACAAAGAAAAGTATTGGTTTGCTACAAATTTTCAAAGTTAAACTGGTGAAAGTGATGTGACAAGTGTAATTCGTTATATTTTTATTTAATTACTTGGAATATAATGGGTAATCAGCTTGTGGGTGTCGCTCCGTCGCAAATATACCCCGTGGAGCACTACCTGAGCGACCATGTTGACTTGTCCTTTGATCAGAGGTACGCTATTTCGACTGTAGATAAAAACGACCACTCCTTTGTTATAATGATGAAACAAAACTTACCTACCCACTATTTACTTTATAATGAGCAAATATATGAGCGTTTATAATTAACTGTATCTCCAAACTAATTAAAAGTAGTCATACAAGCTTATCATTGACCAAATTAAATGTTTACTTTGACTAAATAATCAAAAAGTGATTAGTTAGCTTCAAAACTGGCTCTAAAGGCCTTTATTTTATGATAGAAAAATGCCGTTTAATTTTTAACTACCTTACTAAGTAAATAAATACCCACATGGTAATTATTATGAACTGATGTAAAACATGGTAAAGAATAAACAATCAGTAAAGAATAAGTAGCAGAAAAATGTTCATAGTAAAATATTTTAAGCAAATTTCTTTTCCTCAGCCTGCATTTTTATGAGGGTAGTTTTAAAACTTTTGAAATTTCTTATGTTTTTTAAATAATCACATACAATGGCTCTATCAAAACCATTTGTGCTAATATAGCCCAGTAGTTGTATTCAGAACCTCAGAAGATACTTGCAAATAAATAAATATAAATTTTTACAGCTTGGGCTCTACGAGGTTCCTCAAAGTGGCTCGAGCGAGATCCCGCGAGGGCCTGGTCGTGGTCAAGGTGTTTGCGGTGCATGACCCATCGCTGCCGCTGGCAGAACATAAGGAGCGGATCCTGAAGATCAAAGAGCAGTTGGCTTCGGCCTTCAATTGCTTGCCATTCCAGAGAGTTATTGTAAGAATTTTGTGTAAACTACCCACTTATTACAATTTTCCTTTGATTTAATTTTTAGTTTATACATAAAAAGTTTGAGACCTATTTAATTTAGTCAGTAATTGTTATCAGGTCCCTAAAGACTACCTACTAGGTCCAAATTTGTAAATATCAATTATGGTTCTAAACACGTTATTATAAAATCATCAGTAATTTTTACCTACCCTCTAATTTGTTTAATTGAAAAGAGCAGTTTTTTCAAATCATTCCAGTAACACATGAATATTACACATGCAAAAGTTCTAATCTGTCTATTAGTTTATTACATTTTCTTTCTAAATCTTTAAAAGCAGTTTTTAATAAAAGTTTCATTGCTCCAGTTAACAATATAAAAATTCATAGTTTCATACTAATGCTTAAAATTCTTGTGATCTAAATCTAAATTCTATGAATGAACTAATAATCTAAACTCTATGAATGAATAATTAAGATTTAAGTAATCTGTTTTTTAAGCCTTTAACATAGAAAATAATATTCTCACAGTAATCTGCTAACTTTAACGTTATTTCAGCTCACAGACAAAGCAGGGCTTCTCATGCGCGAGTATTGCAAATACAGTGTGTACGACCGCATGTCCACGCGGCCCTTCCTCACGGCCCTCGAGAAGAAGTGGATCACCTTCCAAGTGCTGTATGCGTTGCACCGGATGCATAAGCTGGGGATCTGCCATGGGGATATTAAGGTATTTACATTTGGGATTAAAATAAAAATCAAAATTAAAAATATTTATTCAGTTTAGACCACAAGTGGCACTTATGAACGTCAGAATATAGTAAATATAAAAAAAAAGAATAGGTAGCCCTTAATAAGGGGCACTTTACATGTCTCCATTACCAGGAATTAGGTTTTGTCTATGACTTGGGTGAATTTCAGTTTGAAAAAAAAAAAGAAATGTAACTCAGTATTAAATACTTACGTAAAGGCGCGCGCGCACAGGTGACTTTAGTCACCGTGAAAGTATGTCTCTCTCCATAGTCTTTATAAAAGTGGCACTGGTAAGTCATTATTTGGTAATTACAAAGTTAATACATATTCCTTCCGCTAGGTATATAAAATTTGGGTCATTAACAACACGGAAATTTCCACTGCATTTATTCGATTTCTCATATCACGAAATGAAATTTTATAAAATATTGACATAATAAAAAATCTATCATTTTACACGTTCATTTCTGGACACGAAATAAAATTTTATAATAATTAATTAGCACATCCTTTGTTCGTCATTTCATTTTATACCATTTCTAGCTAATAAAGCTTATTTTTCCACAGCTCAAGAACATAATGGTGACGTCATGGCTGTGGGTGCTTCTCACCGACATCGTGTCGTTCAAGCCGACTTAATCTTTATCGAACATAATATTATGATGATATTATTTTGCAGGACATCTTTTTGACTAAACTTCAACACCCCTATACCATCATTTATGATCTATTTCTAGCTAATAAAGCTTATTTTTCCACAGCTCGAGAACATAATGGTGACGTCATGGCTGTGGGTGCTTCTCACCGACATTGCGTCGTTCAAGCCGACGTTTCTCCCCGACGACAACCCGGCAGACTTCAGTTATTTCTTCGACACGTCTCGACGCAGGCTCTGCTACGTGGCGCCTGAGAGATTCGTGAGAGCGCCTGATCCAAATAATAGACCTATGGTAAGCAGTATAACCAGAGAAAGAAAGAAAAAGTATTTATTTGATGGAGGTACAAAATAAAATTACAATTAAATATAATAAAAGAGCCGGAAGACGTAGTGTGGGCAGGCCTCCCGCTAGGTAGGTGGACTGACGATCTGGTGAAGGTCGTGGGAGGTGCTTGGATGCGGGCGGCGCAGGACCGGTCTTTGTGGAAAACCTTGGGGGAGGCTTTTGTGCTGCAGTGGACGTCATTTGGCTGAAACGACGACGACCGATTCCTGCGCAAATTTCAGAAACTTCCATGTTCTTACAGCAGCGTTAACCCGCCTAAAGTGGCCAAATAGTTGACAACACAACTTTATTCCAACTGAAAGACGTGATGCGAACTTTTTGGCTACTTTGGGTGTTACGAACTATTTGGCGCTGACTGTACCTACCGATTTCTGCAAAGACAATAATATTTATAAATTAATAAACAAACTGTAACAAAGTACGAGAGCTAACGTATTTTCATTCACTAGTTGGCGCCACTGTAGAGTAAGGTCCAGTCACTCGTCAGTAGTGGTGCCAAATGTTAGTTAAGTATGAAAACGATAGCCCTCACTGAGATTATGGTTTTTAACAACTTCGTTTATTCTCCATTACCATGTACTAAATGCGTTTGTAATGTAATGAATTGTTGGCATCATTGTGAGAGAGAGACGTAAAATCTAAGCCGTAAAATGTTGTCAAAATAGCGTTTTAAATAAAACATTTTCTTTTGTAGAGTGATGACAAAAGCGGTGGCCTCTTGCTAAGCGAATCGCCTTGTAAAGTAGGCGAGCTCGTGCCGAGTATGGACATCTTCTCAGCTGGGTAAGTTGTATACTGCAGGACTATTCCCACCTCTCGTTCCCACCGCTGCAACTCCTGTGTAGCCAGGATCTACAGCTTGACCGCCATAAAAACCCAACCAATGAGGTCAAGTTTGTCCGGGGGAAAGTTAAACTGTCATTGGACTCGCAACGAAATTAATCAGAAGAACATAGGAGGAGTTCGAAGTTAAGGTTCGACTTCCCTCCATTGCAAAGAGGAAACGTATACGGTAAGTTGTATACTACGAGTATATGGTGTATTGGCTGTAGTTTATCTAGAAATAGAAAATACAACATCTACAGAAACGATAATTGTATTTAAACTACTCGTAACCACTAATTTGTATCAATAAAAAGTCGATTAACAAGTAGGTTTTGCTAATTGCCTTAACCACAAGTATTCCTATGTTTGGCGTTAACGACATTACTTGACGACTCATATAAGTAGCTTATCAACTTAGCTTTCCATGGGACAATAAAAAAAAATTGGGTGCATAAAAATTAGTTGGCCGATAGTTGGGCCCGATTCTAATTTGTATGAAGAATCGACCGATAACAAATCGGTGTAATGTGCGCACTTTCATACATCTCCATACTGATCAACAGCCCGACCCAACTATCGGCCAACTATAAATCGGTGGCCTGCACCTAGGCTAAGTTGGCATCAATAATACTGTAAAACATTTTTAAATTTTGCAAGTTAATAAATCAAAACAAAGCCATAATGCCAAAGAGCCTGGATGCGGGCAGCGCAGGACCGTTCATTGTGGAAAACCTTGGGGGAGGCCTTTGTCCAGCAGTGGACGTCATTTGGCTGAAACGAACGAACGAACGAAAGCCATAATACAAGTTTTGCTTAGTTTGGGACTAGATTTACTTGACTTATGGTCCTATGTCCCCTAGATGGGGCAGAGGGCGTCCACAACAGTCCTCCATCGCGTTCGGTCTTGAGCTATGTGTTTGATCTCGCTCCAAGTCTTGGGACTAGATGGCGCACTATAAAATATCAAATTTTAATTTTATATTGCAGGTGTGCGCTCCTAGAACTTTGGAACGACGGTACCCCAGCGCTGGACTTGCCCGGCTTACTAGCCTACCGTAACGGCGAGGATCGTCCCAGTACCATGACGCTCCCAGAAGGCAGCGACCCTCAGCTGAGGGAATTATTACACTCCATGACTGAGCGGAGCCCTAAAGACAGGCGGAGCGCCGAGCTGTATCTGGATGAGGCTAGGGGGAAGTAAGTCTATTATACCATACTTTAAATCTTATTCCACTGTCTTAAGGTTTAAAAAAGGTAAAAATATCTATAGTCCGGTCGACGAGCAGATAGAATTTCGTCCAATGACCCCGTGCTACCAATCCTTATCGTTCGCGCGTAATTATATTGCTGTCGCGACTGTGCGACGGGCGGTCGCAGTGGGGTGCGAGCTTGGGGTCATTGGACAAAAAATTCTATGTGCTGTGTGACCGGACTTTAGCCTACCGCAACGGCAAGGACAGGAGGAGCGCCGAGCTGTATCTGGATGAGGCGAGAGGGAAGTAAATCTATTAATACCCTCATACTTTAAACCTTATCCCACTGTCTTAATGTTTAATAAAGATAAATATAGCTAGCCTACCGCAACGTCGAGGATCGCCCCAGTACCATGACGCTCCCAGAAGGCAGCGACCCTCAGCTGAGGGAATTATTGCACTCCATGACTGAGCGGAGCCCTAAGGACAGGCGGAGCGCCGAGCTGTATCTGGATGAGGCGAGGGGGAAGTAAGTCTATTATACCATACTTTCAACCTTATCCCACTGTCTTAAGGTTTAAAAAAGATAAAAATAGCTATAGTCCGATCGCCGAGCAGCTAGAGATATTGCTGTCGCGCTCGCACACTCACTTGCGCTAGTGTGGGCGAGGCCTTATTTAGAGAAATAAACAACTGAACAATACATATTGTTGCTTACATAAAGCGTCAGATCAGAATGCCAGAAAACAGATATGGTCAACTGCTAGACAAAAGTCCCCCAAGGATTTCCACAAGGGCCGGTCTTTTTTGTCGGGAAATACTTTGCTGGTTTATGGGGACGGTCAGTGTGTTATGTGGGACTCTCCCCGCTAGAAGAGCGGGGCCTAACCCGATGGTATCCTCTTGGGCGATTGAAAGAGGCAGCTGCGAGTTATTGTCCTAAAATTGGACTTTCGTCGGCGTCTCCGTCTCAGGCTACGGCCTTTGAGCGAGCCCCCCGACTTCGAAGGGAATAAAAGAACCGGTCTTACGCTGCCCGCATTTAGGTGCTTCCCGCATTTAAGTGTTTCCCTCAATCTTTTTGAGCAATGATTGATACCTGATTGTCGTTCCACATAACAGAATTTACAACATAATATAAACATAAACAGAATACTCACTCACTTTTCTTTTCCACAGGCTATTCCCAGAGTACTTCTACTCCTTCCTCCAGTCCTACATGCTGATATTCTCGGCGCAGCCGATCCTGCCTCCAGACGAGAAGATCCTGCGTATCCATCAGGATATACGGAACATCATCAAGATCTTCACTCAGCCGTCCGACGCCAAGAACTATCAAGATCTGGTGGACGAGACCACGGAACAGCAGGGCGCTGCGAGCATTGATGCGTTGATGAAGGATGACTTCAAAGTGTTGAAGGTAAGAAAGCCTTTCAGATTTTGTCTCCAGAAAAAACGAGAATATTTTTTTTAATATGGACTTTCTAATATAAACTACAAGACTTTTCTCACCAGTTGGCGCCAGTGGCTACTAAATTCATGTCATGCACTAGTGTAAAAGTCAATGGCGCTAACTGATCAGCGCAATGAAGAATGTTCACTAATTTTGTTTATTAGCTTTCTGAATTCTCTGTTAAAAATAAAAAATACACGTGAAAGAATTATTTCGATACGTCAATTAGTTTCCAAGATATTGAATTTTAAAGGTGGGGGCGGCGGCCGGCCCGCCATTTTATGCGCGTGACGTCATTTTATAGTGACTGGCTCAAATTTGTATGGGTGGAATCTTGCAAGCTGAATTAAAACCCACTTCCAGGCAACCGATTAAGCTGAAATTTCGCATACACATGTAAATTGGATGACCATGCAATATTATGATGACATGGAGCTGATCTGATGATGGAGCTGGAAGGTGGCGATAGGAACTCCATAATAAAACGACTTAACTCCATCGAGTTTGGGCTCGTTCGTTTTGTATTGACGAGTACTTCAATTCTATATAGTAATCAGGGTCTGAAGATGGCTCTGAAAGGTACTTCGCAATAAAACGACACAATCGCATCCAGTTTGGGTTTGGTTCAATTTTAATTTCTGTGATGGGTCTGGGTGTTAATATGTATAATATGTATGTATTTACAAGAAAAAATGTATTTAAGTATGTTTATATCCGTTTTCTACTGAGCGGACACTGTGAATGTACGTCACGCGGGGTCACGTGACCGTCGGCGGTACTCGATATCTTAGCGAACTTTGAATGCCTATAAAATCAAAACTACTTGGTATTTTTGAATGAAATAAAAACAAATGTATTTGTATATGTAAAAGCTTAACTGTAACAAAGGTTTCAAGTGATTTTGCGAGTGAGTGAACGAGGCGATTGATTCGCGCGATGATAAGTCTTACTTCAAATCAAATTCCTTATTATTTCAATTAGGACACTTTAAAAGATTTAATAGGGGGAAGGGTGGAAAGAGATAAATAGAGAGGAGAGAGAGAGAGAAGAGGTGTAGGAGACTAGAGGGCAAGATATTGGAAGAGGTAGGAAGGGCAAGTTATAGGCTCAAGGGAGGGAGGAGAGAAAGTGCGGATGGATGGGTAGGGGATAAAGAAAAAGAGACAGAAATAATATCTTATCCTTCCACAGCTCAACGTATCAGACTACGAAGAAGAAGAAGAGAAAGCGCCGGAACCGAGACAGCTAGGGCCTGACAGCGAGGGCCTGATCCTCGTCGCGTCACTCGTGACGTCGTGCGCGCGCGGCCTGCACCACTGCACCTCCAAGCTGCGCAGCCTCGAGATCCTGCGGCTGCTGTGCGAGAGCTGCTCCGAGGAGACCGTGCTGGACCGCATCCTGCCTTACGTGGTGAGTGGCCAGTGTCACAGCCCCGAGCGAGACAGCCGGGCCCGCGGCGAGGGCCTGATCCTCGTCGCGCCACGAGTGACGTCACTGCACCTCCAAGCTGCTGCTCCGAGGAGACCGTGCTGGACCGCATCCTGCCTTACGTGGTGAGTGGCCAGTGTCACAGCCCCGAGCGAGACAGCCGGGCCCGCAGCGAGGGCCTGATCCTCGTTGCGTCACGAGTGACGTCGTAAGGTCCGTGACAGACCTACCTATCCTACCTTATATGGGAGTTTCAGTATAACTTCCTAGTGTTGCCTGTCTAAACTTTACCATCTGGCCACGAGCGGTGAGTATTTTACAGTTGTACGCATCTGTATTTTCTATAAAAAAGGCGAACCAAATGACAGCTGACACCAGCGCCAATTCAGATTAACTGCCACTGAAATTCGCATAGTGCCAAGAAATACGAGTATAAGCTGAAATAGTTTTAGTCATACGATCTCAACAATATGATGCAATGATGAGACTGTAAAGCACGAAAAACAGGTATTTCCGGGAGCGTTCCGGGGACGGAAATTGCAATTGCCTTAAAACTAAATGACTTCTATAGGGTATCAAATGCCCTAAAAGTCATAAAAACTCATAAAACTCATTTATATTTTGTAAACAGGCTTTTACACTGTTCTTTTATCCCACAGATCCACCTGTCCCACGATTCAGTGTCCCGCGTCCGCGCCGCGGCCGTATGTACCGCGGCGAAATGCGTCGGCCTAGTACGGAACCTGCCCAAAGCGGACTGCAACGTGTTCCCTGAGTATATCCTACCGGAGCTTGCCCCTAGAGCTACGGACCCCGCGGTGCCCGTACGGATAGCCTACGCTAACAGTATAGGTGAGTCCATCGTACATCGTTCGTTTTATACCCGTTTTCACCATCAATCCCTATTTTTTAAGTGACCCCTATGGTAACACATGACAGGATTTTTAATTGATGGTGAAAACGGGCATAAGTCAAATGACTTCCACTGTTAGACAAAGGCCTCCCCTAAAGATTTCCACAACGACCGCATCTAGATACTTCCCGCGACCTTCATCAGATCGTCGGTCCATTTAGGAGGCCTGCCCACACTACGTCTCCCGGCCCGTGGTCGTCACTCGAGAACTTTTCTGCCCCAACGGCCTCAGCTCTACGAGCTATGTGCCCCAGCTATAGTTCGTAGGAACAATAATTTCTTCATGGTACGGAACCTGCCCAAAGCGGACTGCAACGTTCCCTGAGTATATCCTACCGGAACTAGCCCCTAGAGCTACGGACCCCGCGGTGCCCGTATGGATAGCCTACGCTAACAGTATAGGTAAGTTCGTTCATTCGTTCTTTTCAGCCAAATGACACTGTCTCTGGACGCAGGCCGCTACCAACCGGGCAACATGGAAAGCATTGGGGGAGGCCTATGTTCAGCAGTGGACGTCCTATGGCTGAGATGATGATGATGATGATGAGCCAAATGACGTCCACTGCTGGACAATGGCCTCCCCTAAAGATTTACACAACAACCGCCTCTAGATACTTCCCGCGACCTTTAACCAGATCGTCGGTCCACTTTTACGTTTTCCGGCCCGTGATCGCCACTCGAAAACTTTTCTGCAACAATAGCCATCAGCTCTACGAGCTAATATGGCCCACTGCAACATAGGTGCCATAGATTGGTAGGAACAATAATTTCTTCATGGTACGGAACCTGCCTAAAGCAGACTGCAATGTGTTCCCTGAGTAGGACCCCGCGGTACCTGTACGGATAGCCTACGCTAACAGTATAGGTGAGTAGATATGACTAGCGTAATTATATTGCTGTCGCGCTCGCACACTCACTGCGGCCGCCCGTCGCGACAGCAATATTTACACGCGAGCGATAAGGATGCGTAGCTTTGGGGTCATTGGATGAAATTCTACATGCTCGGCGACCGGACTTTACAGGTCTAGCGCATAACTGAGTTAGTTCCTGAGTGGGTGGTTTTTGTAACGTCAAACGTCAGCGAGACTTCAGATGTGCTTCAGACTTGTATGCTCTGTCACGTCATATGTCACCCCTCCTACCCAGTGAAGGCCAAGTATGTCCCAGAGGAAACTCTAATCTGTCATTAAATTGAAACATTTGTTAATAACATTTTATTTTTGATGCAGCAAAATTGGCAGAAACAGCAGTCAGATTCCTGGATCAGACTCAAAACATGGTCGACAAGGAAGCAACCAATATAAACTACGAAACAGAACTTTCAGCATTACATGAAATGGTAAGAACAGATCAATGTATGAATCAAATAATATGTATAAATAAATGGAAAATAATTAATTACTTACTTTTGCTTTATAAAAATGAACAAAATTTTCAGGTCCGTTCAACAGTATCGTATTTGCTGACCGATTCGCAAGCGGTCGTCAAGCGAGCGCTGGTCGACAATGGAATCACAAAACTTTGTATATTCTTCGGCAAACAAAAAGGTAAAATTATTTGAGGTTATTTATTATAGTTGTTGCTTTTGACTGTAGAAGCGAAGTCATAATGTCTGCCTGTATTCAGTAATTAGGTCCTTTTCAGGGCGCTTATACACTTCCCAAATATACCTTGCTCTACCACCACTTCGGGACAACATATGGGCTGGTGTTCAGAAGAAGTGGCGGAAGAAACTCGGTCTCCTTTGTCAGCCTCTATCAATTAGATACAGCAAAATAACAATCCTTTTTGTTTGATGTTTATCGTGTAAAGCTACAGATCACAGAAACTAAAGGGAGATGTGACAAAGGGGCGGGGCCGGTATCGCAACAATATGCCCAAAAACAGAACACATTTTAAACAGTTTACATTGCTTGCGTAGTACTAAAGATTATTCGAACGTTGAGTACTGGTACCCCAGTGGATAATGAGCACATATTTTGATTACTTTGTGTGTGTCAATTTCTAATGCGACACTAAGTTTCAAACTCAGCGCATTAGTTGGCATCTCTCGATATCTCTATGTGTAATATATCTTTTTTATATTCCAGCAAATGACGTGATCCTATCCCACATGGTGACATTCCTCAACGACAAGGAGGAGGCGGCGCTCCGAGGGTGCTTCTTCGACCGCGTGGTGGGCGTCGCCGCGTACGTCGGCCACCACGCCTCGCCCATACTGCTGCCGCTGCTGCAGCAGGTGAGTGTCTCTGTGACGTCACTCGCACGCGGCGCCCCTCGACAAGGAGGAGGCGCTCCGAGGGTGCTTCTTCGACCGCGTGGTGGGCGTCGCCGCGTACGTCGGCCACCACGCCTCGCCCATACTGCTGCCGCTGCTGCAGCAGGTGAGTGTCTCTGTGACGTCACTCGCACGCGGCGCCCCTCCACAAGGAGGCGGCGCTCCGAGGGTGCTTCTTCGACCGCGTGGTGGGCGTCGCCGCGTACGTCGGCCACCACGCCTCGCCCATACTGCTGCCGCTGCTGCAGCAGGTGAGTGTCTCTGTGACGTCACTCGCACGCGGCGCCCCTCCACAAGGAGGATGCGCTCCGAGGGTGCTTCTTGTGCTTCTTCGTGTGACTCACCGCAGAATAAATGTACTACGAACAGAACAAAATAATAACATGTACTACGTACAGAACAGAATAATAATATGGAATCCGTACAGAAAGTTTTCATCGCGAAGGTATTTAAAAAAATGTATTCTCAATGACGTCAACAGTATGGTGTACCTAATCATAAAGTTAATATTCCTAGCAGAATAGAGCAACAAAGGACTGAGCCAGCGAGATGTCACTAGCAGCAACACTGTGTGATAACAAGATATGCGTGATGTGACGTAACAGAACCGTTTTTTGCAACTATTTGGTCTTTTTAAAATTTAAAATAACTATAATGCTCTGTAAGCTGTTTTCTCGCTATATTATATTTTTTACATTTGATATCTTGTTCACTTTTATGTCCCTTAACTCAAATATGACTTGCATCATATATTTACGATTGTGTCTACTTCGTGTACAGTTATTAAACTATTTTTTATTTCAGGGCCTAACAGACCAGTCCGAGTGGATAATAGCCAAGGCGTTAAGAGCCACCAGCAGTTTGGCAGAATTGGGACTGCTGCCAAAACAGGCGCTATGCGACTTAGTTGCTGAAAGCGCGGTGTACTTGGCACATCCTAACTTGTGGGTAAGTAGGAACAGCGCTGTTCTAATATAGTCTTTATGTTCTTAATAAAAAGGCCGTGTATGTATTGTACAGTCGACTCGACAACACCTCACACTATACAGGTTGAAATTTTATAATGCCACCTGAAGGGAAAGTACTCTTAATACTAGAGATAGAAAATGTAACTCAAAGAAAACATTTCTTTATTATTGAAAAGATTAAAAGATTTCCGAAAATGTGTTTGCCACTTTTGGAAATCGAACCGACTAAAATGTCTGATAATTACACCTGTACACACGGCCACACTATCCATTTCCGTTTTTGCTCTCGCTCTCATCAAATGGTAATAGGGATGTTTCCTGGGTCAAAAAGCAAGAGTTTTAATTAGTCCGTCAGTTAACTTATCAAAAAATACTCTACACGTATTTTTCACTTTTTCAAACTAATGAAAATTGAAAGAGATAAAGCGCGCCAACGTTCATAAGAAGAGGCCCGTGACGTCAATGCGTGCATAAAAGTGCCGCACGTTGTGACGTCGTGCGGAACTTCAACGCACCATAACTATGTAATTATTTGTTAGATTGACAAATAAAAATATATGTCGCACCTTCGGTAGAACAAGGGCACAATTGTCAAAAATTGCAAAAATGAGTTAAGTATGCAGAAATACTTTAAAAATGTGTTTTCAACTAGAGAGACAAAGAAACCCGTTTAATTCCTTCAAAAAACTGCCAGGTGCAAAAAGCGGCTTTGTCTTATTGGCGCTTTTATTTTCCTGTTCTGACGCGACAAAGTCCCATTGGTCAGTTGCGCCGTCGGCGGGGAATGAAGTACTTGTCATTTGGAGCGCTAACGCCGCAATGGTAAATATGCCCTTTAATGTTTTTGGTTTCTGGAGTGACAAGGCCACATCTATCACACTTATGCCTAGTAAGTAATTCAAAAATTGGAGGGAAAAAGTCGTTCAGACAGTTATGCCCTTGTCCGTCCAATTTTTTTTATTCTTTGGTCTTAAAGTCGAGTGCAATTCCAAAAAATGTGCTTAGAAATTTAACAATTTAACTAAAACTCCATTATGAAAGGATTAAGTTATAATTAAAAACAGTGTAGGTACTGAATAAAACATAAAGAGACTATTTTTTTGTAAAGTTCAAGTTATTTTTATTAAAATTCTATTATTTTATAAGTAATTACGAGCATATTTCCAGAGTTTTGCTAAGTAAATTTGTTTTGGAACAGTAGTTACAAAAGAGTGAAGGCTGATTAAAGAACTAACGGCCGCCCACGACTTCGTACGCGTGTACCCCGTCTAACCCCCTCAGGGTTGGAGTTTCGTAAAATCCTTTCTTAGCGGATGTCTACACCCTATAAGGAACCTACCTGCCAAATTTCAAGTTTGTAGGTGTTATAGTTTCTGACATTTTGTGATGAGTGAGTCAATCAGTGACCTTTCGCTTTTCTATAGATAGATACTAAAAAGTCATGTTATCTCTAAGTTTTATTCACTTTTTTTGTGTGAAGTTACTACACACTTTTAAATTAATAAAAAAATACATTATTTATGCAAAAACACTGCTTATATTTATTCTAACATCATCCTAAATTAAAGCTCAAATTGGTCATAACTACAAAATAATTTAGATATTGGTGGAACAAGGGCATAAATGAATCCCCTCCTTGAAATAAAAATTAATATAAAAAAAACTAAAAGCTTTTTATTCTTGCAAGCAATGCACGTAATAAGTATATAGTATATAGTTTATGTCATGCAAAGGTGGACCACTTTACAGGAATATTATCAGAGCTAGACCATATTAAATCCAATAAAAATCTTAAAGTAGCTCTCCTGTAAAATTGCAAAAAGTGCAATTGTGCCCTTGTTCTACCGAAGGTGCGATGTGTCCAATATTTTTTGATATTAAACATGACGGACTAAAAAAAATTTTTTAGGAAACTAGCCTACCATACGAGTATAATCGTATTGAGATTTCATCCTTATAATTGACAGAATAGAGGTACTCATAGGTTACCTTTTGTCGCATTTTTATTTAGTTGTTAATTTCATAAAGCTTTTGCTTGGGACAAAATCAGGATAAAATCTATTCTACGTTTGTTTCTGGGTCTCAAACTATGTCTAACGCCCGTTTTCACCATCAATCCCTATTTTTTAAGTAGGTAACACTTAACAGGAATTTTGTTTTTGGGATTGATGGTGAAAACGGTCATAAATATTTCTGTGTTGTAGATAAGACACGAAGTGTGTGGCCTAGTTTCGTGCGTGGCGAGCCTGTTCAACCGAGTCGACGTGCACTGCAAGCTGCTGCCGCTCATATGGCCGCATCTGAAGCACAAGCTGATACAAGTGAGCATAATTATGTTTTATCGTGTAGTATTAAGGTATAAATTCGTGACTCCACGCAGCAGCAGCAGCAGCAAAAGACGTGTTGTCGCGACACTATAGTCTTTTTCACCTAAGATGATCCGTATGACGTTTCGAGTTTGAAAGATTTAGAGATGTCACATAACTAAACCATAGCGATTTATCTTTCGATTTTTTTCGAAGAGTTAGTAAAACCTACTTTTAGAGAAATATTTTGTATAGGTGTTATTTAACAAAAAAACATGTTTTTTTAATTACAAATATAATTGTAACAATTTTTTATTGATAATATTCAAATTTCATGGTTCGTGTTCAAAAAAACGATTCCTAAAAAGTACTGGTTCTGTTTCTTTAAATTAAAAACTATTAATTTATTTTCAATGCGTTTATTAAAGTCAATAATCGAAAAATATAGTTGATTTTTATGATGTTTTTAATAACTAAGTATTCACTGCAATCGATTAATGAACCGCGGAAATAATCGATTTTATTATTCAAGAAATACCCCAGCACTAAATCTATTCCGTTTCACACATTGCGTATATTAAATAAAAATATTTTTACATCGTATTTAATTAAAATATAATCAATAGACTCAGATTTTACTATATATTTCAAGACAAGTAGTTAATTTTTTTTTATTATGTTGCTAATAAAATTCAAATATTTTTTCAAAAATATTCTGCATATGTAGTATGCGTAATATGGATAACCTTGAAGTGTCATACGGATCATCTTACGTGAAAAAGACTATAAAGGTTTCTTAGATTTCTATGAAATACCATTCCTAGTTAGCGACACTTCTGAAAGTAAATAGAAATACATGGAAACCAGTAGGATCGCGGCGACAAAATATATCGTCTGCAGTTGCTGATGCGATAGCATAGAATAGGATCATACGTACCCCCTGAATCTCGCAAGAGGCTACTAAAGGAGAAATGTCCGAATATCACACCTTCTACAACCCGTCGGGCCATCGTGGGTAGTGTAGGCTAAATTCTCCATTTTCTTCTGATTTTATGAGAGGTTCGTTATCTTGAAGTGGTGATTGAATGAACTGATGACCATGACCAATAGTTATTAACAAACTATGCATATTATCTATTTTTTTTTGTTTAGTATCAGCTACCCAAATGAAAGTTTGAAGCTACCGTTGTGAACTTGTGATGCACTTGCCAAATGTTGGTCTCGAAGCGCTGGTAGGGTAAAAAGATTATGAGACATGTAGAGGCTCCTTAAGAGCATATGACGATTTGTAAGAACTATTTATTAGTCTAAACAAATAAAGAAATTTTGACTTTGACTTTGACTTTGACTGCATCGCACTGCCGAATTTTTATTGCACAAATCACTAAAGCCTGGTCCGTGAGCACGTAGAATTTTGTCCAATGACCCCAAGCTACCCATCCTTATCGCTCGCCCGTAATTATGTTGCTGTCGCGCTCGCACACTCACTGCGGGCGCCCGTCGCACAGTCGCGACTTTAATAGTCCCGTTAGCCCCTCGTACTAAGCTATTGTGTCACGAGTGGGCTCACCACAATAGTCGAGCGGCGGCGGGGTTCGAACCCGAATTCCTCGGATCACGTGTCGGCCAGTCCGACTCCTTCACCATTCGGCTATCGTGGCTTCATTTGACTACTTTTTGCAGGTGGAAAGGGCAGAGCTACTGCTAGAAAGCCTGTCCGATCCGATCCCTAGGAAGGTGCTGGATGCGGTGCTACGTCACGGCGACGTCGACAGGCTAGTCCAGACTCTGAGGGAGCGGAGGAACACTAGGTTAAAGGTAAATATTTAAAACAAGGAAAATATTTATTTGGTATGAAAATTGGAAAATGAGCGAGATTTTATAACCCGTGAAACCTAAGACTCGCCGCAGGCAACAGACTTAGGCCCAGAACAGACGGTGAAACGCAACTGCAACGAAACTGCAACTGCTATTTACTTTTGAGTTGCATCTAAGTTTCTGCCATAGCGTCCGTTGAGAGACCACACATGACGCGACCAGTTTGAAACTTTCAGTTTCATTCATCAGAATCATCACAAAGTTGCAGTTTCGTTGCAGTTGCGTTTCACCGTCTGTTCTGGGCCTTAGTCGACTGATAGTTGGGCCCAATTTTAATTTGTATGAAGAATACATGGCCATACTGATTAACAGCCCGACCCAAATATCGGTCGACAAAAGTCTGGTCTGGCCTAGGCTAAGAGATCGTATGAAACCGCGGCAACAATTAATTTCTATTCTGTATCGATACTAGAGATGGGTTATACTAGGTAAATTTGATACTAGGTGCACCTATTCCAAGTATTTATTAATACGTGATCCAAATACCTGTTCCACTTAGTACGTAGTAATTTACCATACTTGACGCGACTAGTGCGGACTAATCCACGTATTATGACTTTAAAATACAATTTTCTTTGAAAAGATCCACTCTTAGTCGTAGTATTAATAATGCAATTTGAAATTGAATAATAATGTTTTTGCTGGTTGTTGATTGATTGATATCCTCCCTTCATACTTCAACAGGCTTAGGACTGTCAACTTAAAAGTTGGCGTATTTAAAAGATATCAATTTCATAGAAATATTTACATAATTTTTTCTATTTTTTATTTATGCAATTATCACGGACGCGTGACAACAAACCAAAACAAACCTGTCGGAAGAATAAAAACTGGTTTTTTACCGGCTAGTCAACAAGGAGTGAGCTGGATGAGAGAGAACAAAAATTAAAATATTCAAAACCTTACCTGTGTACAAATAGAGTTTAAATTACGTAATACATCAAACACCTATTCCTATCTCACACCTGCCTGCGCTCAAATTTGTTTGTCAGACAGAGACGGAGTGAATCTCTACGTTCGCACATAAGCTTAGCGAGAAATACGCGGTGCGCGTAATACACGACTACGGATTATGCAATAATAACCTCTATTACTTTGAGGGTAGGGTCGGAAATCGTGTAATTTAAAAAATACTTAGTGAGAAATACGCGGTGTGCGTAATACACGACTACGGATTATGCAATAATAACCTCTATTACTTTGATGGTAGGGTCGGAAATCGTGTAATTTAAAAAATACTACGTGGATCAAGTATTTTAAAAATTGGAATAGGTGCCACTTAGTACTGTAAAATACCTAGTGTGTGGATCTGTTCTAGTAAATACGTCTCATCTCTAATCGATACGCGGATACTTGAAGGGCTACAGAATATATTAATTTAATAATTGTTGATTAATTTAGTTAAAACTTTGAAATAAGTAAAATGTGAAGTATTCATATTATACAGGGTGATTGACTAAAACTAAAACAGTGTCTTTAAAAAATGCTAAAATTGTGAATTTAATAAAAGTAAAAACTATGACGTGTATTATTTTATTTGAAGATTTCTTTAAGTAGATTTATTTTTTTCAGGTAAAACAAGGTACAATGCCCCAATATTCGGAAATGGGGCAGCAACTTAGGAACCTGTTCAGAAGATTAGCATCTGACGGTAAATTTTCACAAACTATTTCTTTGCGTATTTTGTCTTTAAATTATTTTTCATAAGGTTCAAAATAGCGTAGTAATAATTTATCTATTTAATACTTTGTTTTTACTTTCAGGAATGACAGAACACGTAGAGAATCAACTGTTGGCCATGAGTGCTCACCTCATAAAAATACAGGGATCATCTACACAAGTATGTATTTTATAATACTGTTCTTTAAACTGTTTTGTTTCACGGCTACTATAGTTGTTGGAATTCACAAAGACGAGTGAGCTTTACATGTGTGGTGTCTCGCTACTGTTCGTTTTTCAAAAGTGTTAGTAAAGCCCGGTCCGTGACCACGTAGAATTTTGTCCAATGACCCCAAGCTACCCATCCTTATCGCTCGCGCGTAATTATATTGCTGTCGCGACTGTGCGACTGGCACCCGCAGTGAGTGTGCGAGCGCGATAGCAGCATAATTACGCGCGAGCGATAAGGATGGGTAGCTAGAGGTCATTGGACAAAATTCTACGTGCTCACGGACCAGACTATAGACATTACACTGTCGTTATGTGCATATACACTTACACACATAAGTAAAGCTCACTCGCGTTCGTGGGTTGCAAGAACTATAACAGATTTTTACTTTATTTATATCTTAAATCTGTACCCCCAGTGAAAACGGAGTTAAGTCGAAAATGGTGATTTTTGGGAAATCGCATTTGAAGTTAAAAAAAATCCTGCTTCGTCGCTATTAGAGATAACTTGGTGAAATATTTTTTAGGTGAAAGGTAATGTTAGATATAATTAGGCAGTGTGCCAGTTTGGGAAATATAGCATGTAGTTTTTTCGTAATTAAATAAAAACCCAGTTATATCGCCATGCACGGCAACTTTACATTCGTGTAAAGTGATGTAATGGGACATAAATCATTTTACACCACACTTTTTTTTTGTGTATATTAATATGAGTCATCTTATATTGTTAATCACAAATTCAATCTGAACAACTTCAATCGTGTAAAAAGTAGTAACACGAGTCGTACCTCTTGACACAATAAAAAATTGAAAGAAGCCTCCGGTACACTTTGTTAAAAGTAGACATGTATCAATATACACGAAAGAAAACTCAAAATTGGTTCACAAAGCCTTACTTGTATCATTTGGCACAAAATTATTTTCTTTTCTATACGTCGTAGAAACATACCGATTAGATACAAAAATAGCTAATTTTTCAGAGATTCACATTATGTTATAAAGTCAATTTTGATCTAAGTCGAGTTAGATCCCTTTTCACTGGGGGTACAGAAATTTGCCTTTTAAGTATTGAGATTTGCATAATTCGGCAATCGGTCTGCCCTCTTTCTAACTCTAAGTCAGAATGTGTCTCTTCTAACATGTTTAAGGTACATATTTTGTTGTGTCTTATTTAAAGTACATATTTCCTTTCAGCACATAACAGACGCGCCAGGGAGGCTAGTGCTAGCGAACACCAGTATATCTAAGTCATCACAGCTAGACGTGGGGTCTGACGACAACACACTGCCTCATGTATCGGATAAGATGTATACGTCGACACAACAGAGGTAATAATACTTTTGACAATATTTAAAAAAGTTCGAGTCGCATTATATTGCACCCCCTAATGCCTTTATAAAAAATCGAAAAAGTATAAAAATACAACATTTTTTCTTGTGTACGGTTTCTTAATTTTATTTATTTATTTTATAGAAACCAACAGCGATACATTAAAAATGTTAGTTATAGGATTTAGACTGATAGTATAGCCAATGAAAGGTTTCCCTTTTTATAAAAGTACATTGTTGTTGGGGAAAAAATATGAATAAAGGATGTTAAAAAAATAAATAATTAAAAATAACAAAAACTCACAAAGAAACAATTCATTGCGTCAATAATAGTCAGAATAAAGCACTTCAAAAGTGTTAATTTTAATAAACTTCAAAAATTTAATGTTTATTATTCAGCACTTTGTGAAAATATCTGCTAAATAATAGTAATTTGTTGCTCATTAAAATGCGAGCGTTAACGACTTAGCGAAAAGCTTTTTACGTACTTGTTTTCTGTTTTTTTCTTGTTTTTTTTTCTTATCTGTTTTTTCTTGTTTATTAGAATATAATTTACATACTTTCTTATCTGTTTTTCTTGTTTATTTTTTTCTGCATTTTTGAGGTCTATATTAAGTTTCTCTTACACAGGCGACCAAACAAACCGTCGACGTCTCACGAAACGCATATGAACACAGAATGGCAACACATGTTCGGCCAGTCGCATGAGCATCACACTGCCAGAGGTCAGTTATCTTTTTATCTATTAATGATACATAAGTATAAAGTTCATAGCAGACTTACCAACTCGGAAAGGAATCAACATCGTATCGCCTTTCGCGCGCTGTCAATTGCGAGGCGTTTACGTTACGGTGCGCATAAGTGTGAAAACATACAAAGAATACTGACTACCTCATGTTGATACGTTTAGGATCCCTTTCCGGGTTGATAAATGTGTATAATTTACAATACGCCTCATAGTTATTTAAATGTTTAGGTTTTGTAGAAAAGTATTTACATTTTTGTAAAAATTCTTTTTTTAATTTATCTTTTAATTTACACGGAATATTATTTTTAAATACAATGTATTATTTGAATTGAACTAAGTTTCTTTTTTGCTATTGAATAAAAGGTCTCCCCTGCAGGAGCACGCCATCTGTAATATGCCGAGGTAAATTGCATTACATTGTGGTTTGACAGTTTAATGTTTAATTTCAGTTTAATCAAATGGTAGGCTAGTCATGCACCCTACAAGGACATAGCTAATAAGTAATAAATCATTTCTCTAAAGCTTCATGCTCATGCTCTGATAACAATATCACTTATACAAGTTTAATCAAAGAACAAAGACACGGCCATACTATCCTTTTCTCGAAGCATTTCGGGTAATTTGACCCCTCTGTAACTTCGTTGTCGATAAAGCTAGAAGCCTTAATATGTCTAACTTTATTACAAACTAGTGGTCCCGGCAAACTTCGTTTCGCCCTACTGTAGTTTGTATGGGAAAAAGAAAAGTGCTGTTTTTAGGGTTTTTCCGGCAGTTATTCGAATTTTTCTCACCGTTTAGACCTACCCTGGACTACGACAAACATTTTAAAACCAAAATCAGCTCAATCGGCCCAGCCGTTCTCGAGTTTTAATCAGACTAACGAACATCAATTCATTTTTATTTATATAGAAGAAGAAGATAGTAGTTTAAAAAAATCTCTTTATTTCACTATAAGACACAAATCGTAAAAAAATGTTGAAGCCTTTTTTAAGTTTATTATAAACCTGTGTAACCAGAAGACTCTTCCATAGCCATAGATACTAGCGTTTGGTGTGGAAATGTAATTTTAATCCAGTGTTCATCCCGGCTCCTATGTGTTTTTTATAATGTGTTTTCTGTTTGTATTTTTGAGGGCTATATTTTTTTTACACAGGCGACCAAACAAACCTTCAACGTCACACAAAACAAAGCTATTTTTGATATTTTTTGTAATAAGCCCTTATGTGTTTTGTTGACAACAGCAGCGGAATCGACAAACCAGTCGGCGGCCGGCGCGGCGTCTATGGCGGCGGCGTCGCACGCAGCCTCCGCGGCGCCGGCGCACTCGCAGATGGGACACAGCGCCAGTTACGTGCAGTGTGAGTGCTAATGTCTAGACTTATTAATATGGTGTGGTTTTGTCATAGATAAAAACAACGCCCACCTCAGGGGTTGTAGACATGGTAGTACACATAAATAAATAAATCTTTGGACAATTTCACACAGCGCCAGCTAGCCCCAAAGTAAGCAACTTAATGCTTGTGTTATGGGTGCTAGCTTAACGGATATACTACTTGTATACTTTTTTTTAAATACATAAATATTATACATAGTCACACCCAGACCCGTCACAGAAATTAAAATTCATCATTTCAATTTCTGTCCGGCCGGGAATCGAACCCGGGACCTCTCGGCATAGTAGTCCGTTCTGAACCACTACACCAAACGGCCGACAGAATGAAAGTAATTACAATAAAAACACCACCACCCCAGAGGCATTATAGTGAGAATGGCAATTCCAAGATATCTCTTAAAAAGCTAATAATAAAACTATGAAACAGTCCAGATTGAAGAGCATCATAACACTAACATTTGAAACAATTTACAAGAAGATATCTTATTTTTCGTTATGAACAAAACACATATCACATTGAATGCAAAAAATCTTTACAAATTGGCAGGCAGGCTGGAAGTAATTTGTTTTGCACAAATTGGGTTCTAAAAACTCTTTATGATCTTCTTCCATAAAGTACTGTACTAAAATGTTATTTGATTGCAGATAGCATGGCCCCGTGCCGCGCCGAACTGAGAAACCTTACCGCTCGTATGCAGCAAAAGTTCCAAAAGTCATTAAGGTTGGTTTTTTGTAAAATCTTGAAATTTCCAGGAAAAAAATTACTGATATGCATATTTGATCTGAATACTCTAAAATGTTTACACCCTGTATAATAATGCTGATTTATTGTTACTAGGACCCACGACGAAGGCGGCGAAGGCAACGACGAAATCGTTCCTCCCGCGTCTTGGAGACCGGGGAATCAATTGCTAGCGTACCTCCATGAACACAAGTCAGTATAACTCTAGGGATTGCTACACACATAACCGCATACGTCGATCATTTCACCTGGGTGATATGGTTCGAAGGTGATATGAGGACACCAAAAATTCCACTTTCTTCACCCAGGTGATATCACCCAGTTGAACATAGTGGAATAATAAATGCGATAAAGCAACGAGGTCTATTGAATTTGTCTTGACTTGAGCACTGAAGTGGTATAAAGGCTATCGCATTGGCACTCACCAGGATGGCGCCACTGTAAAGTAAGAAAATGAATTGAAATTCAAATTCTTTAGACATAATATAGCTTGCCTTACCACCAACTCAAGACAATAAAATAACCCCTCATTACTGTACTTTTTGCATCTGAACATTCATTTACACATTCGATTTTACTATCCGGTTGTGCGGAATAATTATGGCCCGATTATGTGTGCACAGAATCCTATCTCTATCTGCTACACTATCTATTTTGATTTTATGTAAAGAGTACATGTTTAATTAATTTGTATCGTTCGTAGAGCGCGGGTGAACCAAATGGTGACTCTGCCAGCCAGTAAGAACATGTTTGGGTCATGTTCCGACGACGGGACGGTGCGGCTTTGGGACGCGGCCAGGTTCCAGGGACACGCGTACGTCAACAGGTAACGTATAAGTCGAGCTGTCCCAAGTAGTATGCCTTTGGAACACTTGTATAGGGTACCAGTAGGAACATGTTCGGCTCGTGTTCCGACGACGGGACGGTGCGGCTTTGGGACGCGGCCAGGTTCCAGGGACACGCGTACGTCAACAGGTAACGTATAAGTCGATTATCACACTTCACAGCGCTTCGCCGCGGTACGCGGGACGACAGATTTAATCATTATATGCAAGTACCTCAGTTTGTATAGAAAACACGCGCGGCACAACACACTGACAACGCGTTTGCGCGCGGGATTCGTTATATGTCGCCACGCGGACCGCAGCGGAGCGCGGTGCAGTGTGATAATCGCCTAAGTCGAGTTGTTCCAAGTAGTATGCCTTTGGAACACTTGTATAGGTATGAGTAGGAACATGTTCGGGTCATGTTCCGACGACGAGACGGTGCGGCTTTGGGACGCGGCCAGGTTCCAGGGACACGCGTACGTCAACAGGTAACGTATAAGTCGAGCTGATCCAAGTAGTAAGCCTTTGGACGTTTGTAAAGGGTACCAGTAAGAACATGTTTGGGTCATGTTCCGACGACGGGACGGTGCGGCTTTGGGACGCGGCCAGGTTCCAGGGACACGCGTACGTCAACAGGTAACGTATAAGTCAAGCTGTTCCGAGTAGTATGCCTTTGGAACACCTGTATAGGGTACGAGTAGGAGGGCCATTCTTATTCTTACGCATTTTTGTGTGAGATGTAAGAATAGCATATGTTTTTAAAGAAAATCAGTGCACTGTATATTAATTTACTTAGTAAAATACCTCTATTAACTAGGCCCAATATTATTTTTATCATAAAACTATTAGAAGAATATTAAAAAAAAGTTACAAGTCCAAAATGTCACGGACCGTGTAGTGTGAGATTCCCGGATTTGGACATACAATATTTTTTTCTGAAGAGATGTTATGTTATTTTGATAAATATTACAGTAATTATGCAAGATTAATACATGTTATATAAGACTGTTAAAAATTTATATCAATAATAATTACCATTTTTGATTTTGAACACCAAACATTGTGTGAGCAGTTTTTGTGTCACAACCACGTGCGCCACTTTAAATATGCGTAACTCGGTAAAAAACTATCTTTGATATTGACATCCCTTGCTAAGTTTTTTTAGAACAGTAACATTGTCATCTTATTAGATTTGCAAATGGCTGAACGTAGTGAGTGAGCCGCAAAAAATTATTTCCTATTTATTTGAAAAAAGGGACAACCATGACACGTCCATCCCGTGTACGGTTTTTAAAGGTAGCTATCAATGTCACGCTATTGTATAAAACATAATTATGTACCTCATGCAGTATAGTTTCAGATAATTGCACAAGATCTGCTAATTCACAGATAGTTTTTTGGATATATCGGACACGTTCCAAATTGTCACGGCCATGGTATTAAAAATGTGTCACTACCGCAAACTATTTAAGTACATGGTCGTGACATTACAACGCGTGGTTGTGACATTCTATTTTTATTATTTTAATAGTTTTTGTTGTTCTGCTAAATTATTTTGTGTATTGTGCAATTTTTAGGAGTAGCCTTTTAGTAAGTGTACTTATTTTTCGCTAGTATGATTTTCTAGATGCCACGAAGGAAAAATTATTGCACTTTCTCATTTCTGCAGTTATATCAAATTTTACTGAGACAGCTCCCGGTAAAGGCCCTGCAGAGGTGGTCGGAGTTGCTTTAAAAGGAATTGCTATTAACCATATTTTTAGTGGTACGGTGACTATGAAACATGTTTAAGTTGTCAAAACCAACTGTTATGTGAATCCTACAGAAATCTCATTTGATACTCAATTAGGTACCTACTGTGTTTAAGATTTACTAATTTTTAAGCATATTATCATATCGAAACCATGTAGGTAGCATATCGGAAGCATGATCAGATAGTGCCAATAATAAAAAGTCTATTTTTTTATTATCTAGTAGATATATTAACTACCTGGCGGTATTTTTGATCTCAATTTTAATTAAATTTTTGGATGTTCAGAAAAAAGTACATATTACCAAATAACACCTTTGTTGATGAAACGAATTTAGTGTATTTTATTGTTAATCAATTTAAACTATTATGATATAAATTTAACAACATAAATATTATTATTTACAGTAAAAATGTAAAACTGTCACATCCGTGTCATGCAGTGTCACAGCCGTGGTTACGTAGGCTATTTTGTTTCCTTTCCGAGGGCTTTAAGGTTGTCCATATACATCAAAAGTATGCTTTTGATTTATACTTTCGATACACATCGCAAAAAGTTAAAAAAAAAAAACTTTAATTTTAAAAAAAAAATTGGCACAAATTTAAGAATGGCCCAGGAACATGTTCGGGTCGTGTTCCGACGACGGGACGGTGCGGCTTTGGGACGCGGCCAGGTTCCAGGGACACGCGTACGTCAACAGGTAACGTATAAGTCAAGCTGTTCCGAGTAGTATGCCTTTGGAACACCTGTATAGGGTACGAGTAGGAACATGTTCGGCTCGTGTTCCGACGACGGGACGGTGCGCCTCTGGGACGCGGCCAGGTTCCAGGGACACGCGTACGTCAACAGGTAACGTATAAGTCAAGCTGTTCCGAGTAGTATGCCTTTGGAACACCTGTATAGGGTACGAGTAGGAACATGTTCGGGTCGTGTTCCGACGACGGGACGGTGCGGCTTTGGGACGCGGCCAGGTTCCAGGGACACGCGTACGTCAACAGGTAACGTATTCAGTATTAAGAGCCCTGTAGTATTTAAGGGTCATTAAAAAAGTTGCCTTTTCAGGAAGGGTTCTACTCACGATCAGAATAACTTTTACCGATTGATATCAGTGTCATTAAGTCTGATACTAGGCTTTTGACCTCAGGTGTAAAAATACAAGATAAATAATATTGATCACTCTCTCACTCATAATAAAATCGACATCTTAAAATTACACGTCTCTTAGACTGGTCATAGACATGTGTCAAAATGTATACGATTACAAACATGTAAAAAATGAAAATATTTTAACTGTGTGAAAAGTTGTTCAAACGTCCTCTTACCAAACGTCCAGTCGCCGAGCAGAGAGAATCGCTCGCAAACTGCGGCCGCCCGTCGCACAGTCGTGACCGCAATATAATTACGCGCGACCGATAAGGATGGGTAGCTTGGGGTCATTGGACGAATTTCTCTCTGCTCGGCGACCGGACTTTAGTACTTATTGACAAAATGTTGAAAAATTGATTTCGTTCGTTCGTTCATTTCAGCCGAAAGACGTCCACTGCTGGAAAAAGGCCTCCCCCAATTATTTCCACAAAGACCGGTCCTGCGCCGCTTGCATCCAGGTACCTCCCGCGACCTTCACCAGATCGTCGGTCCACCTAGTGGGAGGCCTGCCCACGCTACGTCTTCCAGCTCGTGGTCGCCACTCAAGAACTTTCCTGCCCCTGAAAAACTGATTTACATAATGGGAATTGTAATGTCATTTCTCACACATATTGTAATTTCCCGCAGGTCCAAAGCGATGTACAACCGTAGCGCGGGCCCGGTGGTGGCGCTGGCGGCGTGCGAGGGCGGCCAGTCGCTCGCCGCCGCCACGCAGGAGGGATCCATATTCGTGCTCAGGTATACTAGAATTTTTTATTCGTATTTGCGCATCGACGCATGTGTTGCGGACGAAAATGATTGATGAATTTATTTGGGTGATATAAATCAACTTGATCTATGAAAAAAGTCGCATCTGTTCACCTAGGAATTATAGGTACTGAATAAAGGCGACCGCTTTAGAGTAGGCGCACACCGTTGATTTTTAGTTGGCCGATTTTTAAATTGTATGAAGAATAGGCCAAATCGAATCGGCGTAGTGTGCGCACTCTCATACATGCCCATACTGATCAACTGCCCGACTAAACTATCGGCCGACGAAAAATTAACGGTGTGCGCCTACTCTTAGTCGACTCAATTCACCTGGAAAATACAGTTGGGTGAAATGGTTCCGAGGTGTAATGAGGACACTAATTTATCTACTTTGTTCACCAAGGTGATATCATATTATTATTATTCTGTAAAACGCTTTGTTTAACTGACTTTATCATTATGAACTTTCAAATGATAACGATTGCTTTACACAATTCCACCTCTGACTACAATTAACGACGTCAACGCGGATACATTTCTTTGCTTGAGTCGATCGTCTCAACTCTCGCTGCGCGCAATCACATCAGCGCAATGTGAAATCAAGTCTTAGGAATCGGCCCTCAATCTTGTAACCTTTCCATGTAGGTTGGACAGCGCCTCCTCGCGGATGACGCTCTCACAATGCCGTCAAGTGGAGGCCATGGGCTTCGACGACGGCGGTTGCGAGGCTTTAGCGTGCGCGGGCGGCGTGCACGCCGGCGTCATCTCCTACGTCACGCTCATGGGCGCCGTGGTCGGCTGGGACCTGCGCGCGCCCGGTGAGTTATACCAGGCCTGTTCATCTCCGCGAGTTTACATCGAAAACAAAACACGCACGATGGCCCACCTACAGGATACTTCGACAAGGCCCCACATACGAGCGAACATTGACGCACGCACGCGTATTCTTGTGTATGATGGAAGAAAGTAAAGAAAATGGTGTACTAAATACTGTGCAATATTTAACTGCCTAAATAATAATAAAAACACAGAATGTACTTTTTTAAGTTGCCACAAGACACTGAGAGGTAAATAAGTAGTTAATATTATTCATGATAATTCATGCTATAGCCTGACCAGGAACATAAAAACCCTGGCATAGAGGCGCGTCNAAGCATATGTACGTTATTAAGAGTGGAAAAGAGACACAAATACTTTCTCTGAGCAATACGCTGTCCAATGTAGTATGTCAGAGTAAGAACAGATGGCACTCTAAACAGCAGAAGCTTTCTTTCGACAACGAGTCGTCCGAGTAGCCGCATGCTTGTCAAAATTTTAAGGTAAATATAATTATGAATATTGTTCGTAATTTAATTGTTTTTGCTTGTTATAGTAATTTTACTGTTTTTTTGTAAAGAGATAAATGGTAGCTTATGTAGATAGATTAAGTTACTTTGTTTTGGAACAAAATAACTTTAAAATTATACCGGCCAATAACTATACCACGTTTTCTATTTATTTCAGTTATTGGCCATGGGTGGCCAATAATTAAATTTTACTTTTATTGTATTTTTATTCAAGATTAAGTTAATTTAACCCTTAAATATTTGCTATTAAAATACTAACGTCCTAACCTATTAGGATCAGTAATTAGCCGGGGGGCCAATTACTGACACTTATGCACGGCCAATAACTATTTTTATTGATTTACTTTACCTAGATTGTTACAAGATGCCGTAGGTAACACAGTATACTAAGGTTGGTATAAGCAGTTGGAACAGAAACACTTAATCAGTTAAAAAAATAAAACAAATAATACCTGAAATGCAAAATATTTTTTTTTTATTCTCTATCGTTTGTGGGACTATTTATTATAAGCAAAATGGATTGGAAGCGGAAGTTACAGATGAACCTGAACCTGTATATCAGAGGATTCTGGAAGAAAAAGCTTAAGAAAAAGAAATCCTCGAGAAAGAAAAAAGGGAACGGAAAATTGAAAGAGAACAAAAAAGAGAGGACAGAAAACGGAAAGCTGAAGAAAAGAAAACTGCTAAAATAAAAAAAGCAAGAATAATGTATCTGTATCCAATCAAATCTATAATATTTGCAAAAAGCTTATAAAAATAGACTTTTAGTATGCTCTGAATGCCACCGTGTCTTTCATAAATCTTGTGCAACAGCATATTCCTGAAGAAGAAGGAGACAGTTATCTTTGTCACAATTGTTACAATGTTACTGAATGTAGGTACTGACGATGATGAGATAGATGAAGAAATCGATAAGAGTGATACTGATGACGAATTCTTAGCTAATCTTAAGAAAAGACTAAATGAGTTAGGATTACAAAGCGTGAAGTTTCAGTGATTTTTATGGTTTTTTTTCGGTGGCTAATAACTGTACTTCTAGGAGCCAATTACTGTGTTTTTGGGGCCAATAGCTAAATTTAATGTGATCTCTGATATTTTTAAAATTATTATTGTAATTCTTATCGTATAACACCAAATAGGTACTAGCTTAAATAGCAGCAATATTGTTTTCTCATAATAAAATATAAAAAGTAAAGAAAAGTCGAGTTTTTGTTACATTCTACACAAGTTAACTTACACAACGCTCTTAAAGGGCCAATAACTGTAGCAATCACCCTATTTCTCTTCGACAAATACTTTAACACATTGTGAACCACTTTTCTTTCACGACTATAAAAATATTTGAGCAATTTAATTCATAAAACCAATTGCGCACATTTAAAATAAACTTTGTTTACACTTTGACAGCAATAGACTGACATGCAAGGTGACATGTCAATGAAGTTTTCAGTTACTGTTGCCATTAAAAGAAATTAGTACCATTAGTTTTCCGCAACATGGCGAGGGTTTTTATGTTCCTGGTCAGGCTATAAATCATGTATTTCCTCCGCCATTTTCCGCAGTTTGGCACCTCACGTCACATCATTTTACCGAAGTCAGCCCTATAGCTTCGGCGCAGTGCCGATCACTGACGTTTGTCAACAAAATGGTGCTTGACTCTTGAGACAGGCTAAATTACACCATATTGTTAATGACATTGAGCATACATTTTTTTAAATACCTTCGCGAAGTAAAACTTCTGTACGTAGTACTTATTATTATTCTGTGGTTATAGTCATTTATTCCATAAACAATAACATAATAATCGTATTGAAAATTAAGAAAAAGACATGAAGAATTAAAAAGCCATTAAGAGTGACAGGGGACTGACGCTTGCAGCTGACGGCGGCTGCGTGGCAGCAATAATTAAGCTTCTGCTGAATTCTTCTCCTCTATGGCTATTATGTTTCCACGTTTGCCTGTCACGTGAGCTTCTGTTGAGTTGCAACATCCTTCTTTTAACCAGTGTCTTTTTCATGGAGTTGGGCTGACTTTTGACGTTTGACAAGTTAAAGTAAGATGTTATAGTTCCAAAATACTGAACTGTCCTATCGATGACATTGACAGCGGGGCGCCACCGTCAATACCGAACCGCTGGTTCCGATTTTAGCCATGTTGGAAACCATAAAGTTGAACGATGGTAGCGCCCCCCTGTCATTGAGTTTGGCGGGACAGTTCAGCGTGGGTCATCTATATTATAAACCAGCCTCAATGTGACAGTTTTTGAATTTTGCAATGTGGTATGAGAGGAAAGGGGGAGGGGCAGAAGATTGGTTTTTTCGTAATAATGTCAGCAATCTTCAGATGTCTTTTAGACGTTTCCCTCACCACTCCACTACTGCTGGTATCAACTCAGTTATGAACGCTGTCTTGTTCTTACACTTAGATGTCCGAAATGGACTATGTGCCTTTTGTAACACCACTATATCGACACAATAATAAATGCCTATCTTATCTTATCCTCCTGTTTCCTCCAGGCAACGCGTGGAAACTACAGGGAGACTTGAAGCTAGGAGTGTCCACGTGTCTGTACATAAATTGTATACTTTAGTACTATGTGCCTTTTGGAACACCACTGTATCGACATAATAATAAATGCCTATCTTATCCGAATAGCTTATCTTATCCTCCTGTTTCCTCCAGGCAACGCGTGGAAACTACAGGGAGACCTGAAGCTAGGGGTCTACACGTGTCTGTACATAAATTGTATACTTTAGTACTATGTGCCTTTTGGAACACCACTGTATCGACATAATAATAAATGCCTATCTTATCCGAATAGCTTTTCTTATCCTCCTGTTTCCTCCAGGCAACGCGTGGAAACTGCAGGGAGACTTGAAGCTAGGAGTGTCCACGTGTCTGTACGCACACGCCGCCGGATACATAGCGGCAGGGACGTCCAGCGGCGCCGTCTGCGTGTGGGACCTGCGCTTCCAGCTGCCCGTCACTACCATACGCCATCCCAACTGTGAGTCTGATGTACAACGCGTGGGAACTGTAGGGGAACTGAAGCTAGGAGTCTCCACATGTCTATACGCGCACGCCGCCACCCTATATCGCCGCCGGGACCTCTAAAGCCCGGTCTCCGAGCACGTAGAATTTTGTCCAATGACCCCAAGCTACCCATCCTTATCGCTCGCGCGTAATTATATTGCTGTCGTGACTGTGCGACGGGCGCCCGCAGTGAGTGTGCGAGCGCGACAGCAACATAATTACGCGCGAGCGATAAGGATGGGTAGCTCGGGCTCATTGGACAAAATTCTACGTGCTCACAGACCAGACTATACGCGCGATTTTTACCAGCGCCCGCGGCGGTTGCGGGCCCGCAGCTTCTGTAGAATGCAGCTTATGTAAAAACTAATGCACAAACTCACGACGCGGTTTTCGCCCGCAACGGGCGCGATTGTAAGCGACCATTTTGTACCAGTGACTTAGCACGCGGCCATTTAAAAAAATCGCGCGCCGTGTGTTTTTAGAATAACCGCGCAAATAACCTCTCCGTGAGTTTTGAAATAAAACCGCAATTCCACAACCGCCGCTTGCGCGGGTGAAAATCGCGCCGTGAGTTCTTAGCCTAAGGAGACTGAAGCTAGGAGTGTACACGTGTCTGTTATGTATCTGTATTTTGTGTGCTACGTGTTTAATGTATCTGTATTTTGTAATAGCCCATCGTAATACCTATCTTTCCGTCCAACAGCGGAGCGCGTCCGCCGCATCCTGGGCTTCGGGCGCAGCTCATCCCACGTGTGGGCAGTGGGCGGACGCGACGCGGGCGCGTGGTGCCTTGAGTCCACGCAGCGAACACACGCGCTGTGGCCGTGCTTTAACGAGCCGCAGCCGCTGCATTACACACACGCCGTAAGTATAATAAAGCACCGTAAGTATAATAAAGGGGAGCTAGTCCCACGTGTGGGCAGTGGGCGGGCGCGTGGTGCCTGGAGTCCACGCAGCGAACTCACGCGTTGTGGCCGTGCTTTAACGAGCCTCAGCCGCTGCATTACACACACGCTGTGAGTATACTGTAGACCAGGGTTTCCCAATTTTTTTTTGCCAAGGAACCCTAATTGATTATACTTTTCCTAGCGGAACCCCCATACTACTCCGCCCGCACGCCCTGCCCCTCCCGTGCGTAAACAAGTCGGTGCGAGCGAACAACGTCGGTCACAAAACGTGGAATAATATTTTTTACGGAACCCTTGCGGCCTTTCACCACCATTCGGGAACCGCTGCTGTAGACATTAGTGTATAGGGTCCTTTTTTGACATGCCATGTCACCCCGCTGCGCGCATGACTGTACAACTGATGGCCTAGAGTTCTCGAGTGTCGACTACTAGCCGGAAGACGTGGTGTGAGCACCTGCTCACTAGGTGGACCGACGATCTGGAGGGTCGCAGGAGGTGCCTGGATGCGGGTGGCGCAGACCGGTCGTTGTGGAAATTCTTGGGGGAGGCCTTTGTCCAGCTGTGGATGTCATTTGGTTAAAACGAACGAAGTAGACTTCTTCATGCGAGTTAGTCCCACGTGTGGGCAGTGATCGGGCGCGTGGTGTCTTGAGTCCACGCAGCGAACTCACGCGTTGTGGCCTTGCTTTGACGAGCCTCAGCCGCTGCATTATACACACGCTGTGAGTACACTGTAGACCAGTGTTTTTCAACCTGTGGGTCGCGACCCCCTGGGGGGTCGCGAAGCCTCTATAGGGGGGTCGCGAGAGGTCGTAAAAACTACCTCAGTAAAAAAACAATAGTTATAAAGACAGATTTATCCGAAATCTAATTATGCAAAATGTTGTATGGATTGAAGTATTCGGCCCTACAAACATCTTTGTAACATTATAAAATGCATGAAAAAAAAAGCGAACGGTTAGGGGGTCGCCAAATATTTTTCTTACTAGGGGGGTCGTGTCACGAAAAAGGTTGAAAAACACTGCTGTAGACATTAGTGTACAGGGTCCTTTTTTGACATGCCATGTCACCCCGCCACGCGCATGACTGTACAACTGATGGCCTCGAGTTCTCGAGTGTCGACTACTAGCCGGAAGACGTGGTGTGAGCAGGTCCTCACTAGGTGGACCGACGATCTGGAGGGTCGCAGGAGGTGCCTGGATGCGGGTGGCGCAGACCGGTCGTTGTGGAAATTCTTGGGGGATGCCTTTGTCCAGCTGTGGACGTCATTCGGTTGAAACGAACAAAGTAGACTTCTTCATGCGAGTTAGTCCCACGTGTGGGCAGTGATCGGGCGCGTAGTGTCTTGAGTCCACGCAGCGAACTCACGCGCTGTGGCCTTGCTTTAACGAGCCGCAGCCGCTGCATTATACACATGCTGTGAGTATAACCCTAGGCTTTAGCGTCGACGCTAGCATTCGGCTAGTCTAGAAGCTAAAATTATTATTATTTTGTTTTTTTGGGCCTTCATTTGCGCCAGCTCGACCAGGTTTGATCTATTGTGGCAGCCCTTGTGTTTAGAGTACACTGCTTAGTCCAGATTTTTGGAGCGTGATATCTGCTATCTCATCCGGGTGCATGATGTGTCGTCCGAGATGGATACTTCTTTTGCTCATAAGCGGGCCGCATGAGCAGAGAACATGCATGGCCGTTTCTTCTTCTGTATGGCAGAATCTGCACAGAGTTTCCTCGGTCATGTTCATGTTTGATTTGTGTTTGTTTAGTTTACAGTGGCCGGTTAGTATTCTAGTCACTGCACAAGCTTTGTATCTTTTGAACTTTAACAGTTCACTACTTACTTTGTTGCTATATCCCTAAATGAGTGCTTTAGCTAAGCTAGACTTAGGCCCAGTGGCCTAATTCACGTATTTTTTTACACAGTGAAAAACTGTTTTAAATCCGTATTCACAAGGGTCATTTCGATAGAACGGTTACTCGATAGGATCGCAACTCAGTGATTTGTTGTCGTTGAAGTTTTAATTGTTACGTGAATAAGGCTACAGTTTCCGCCAAAGTGGAGCTAAGAAGAGGTTACTTAATAAATCAGATTTTTGAGCTGAAGCGGAGAGGTGGTTTGGAAATATCATTGGATTGGTATTCAAACCCATCTCTATTTTCCATTTGTCTCGAAACTGGGCCTTAGCCTAGACCTCCCATTCAAGGCATTTGGTACCTTATTTCACCCCAATAAACTCCAATTTAACACTCCCAGGCCTCGCAGTACATAGCCGCGGCGTACTGCGGCACCCGCGAAGGCAACCGCTTCATAGTGACAGGCGGGTCGGACCAGCGCCTGCGCTACTGGGACCTGTCGCATCCCGAGGACTCGTACATCCATGGCGATGATGAACCTAATTTCATCCCAATAAAGTCCAATTTAAACTTCTCTAGGCGTCTTAGTATAGGCGCGGTACATTGCGGCACTATCAAGGAGTTTTGAATCTTATTCCACCTCAATAATGCAAGGAGTTTTGAACCCTATTCCACCTTTTTAAAGTTCAATTCGTCCTCCAGGCCACGCGTGGTCCAGTAGAGTAAAACACTTTTCTTTCACTTCCACTTTTCTTGTGGATGTCGTTAAACGCTAAGGGCTAGCGCTGCAGTGGACGTGTAGAGGACTAGAGGCCAAATCCTTCGTTTGCCTCTGGTAAATTACAGAAGCAGAGCTACTATGGTAAAGATAAATGACCTAATAATGATTTAAATTCCTCAAGGCCTCGCAGTACATAGGCGCGGCGTACTGCGGCACCCGCGAAGGCAACCGCTTCATAGTGACAGGCGGGTCGGACCAGCGCCTGCGCTACTGGGACCTGTCGCATCCCGAGGACTCGTACATCCTGCTGCACGGGCCCTTCGACCCTTTGAAGGCCAACCCCAACTTGGTGAAGTACAGGCAAGTGTGATTGACTATCCTTAGTATTAAAGAATGAAGCGCTGGCTGATTCTCATTTATTTTGACTGACTGACTTTTTTCCTTCAAAAACAATAGTGTACAAAATAGACATCGTGCCAAAAATCTTCATTTTTTTTTTCGATTTAAGATATATTTCCTTTTCTATTTTTTCTTAAGTAGTCATGACCATAATATGTCCATCGTCCATGGACCCTACGGCGCTAGGATTCGTTCAATTTTTGTACACGTATTTTATTTTCCTGCTTGTTTAAATTTGTAGGCTGATTGGCTTATTATTTTAGTTTTGTAATTGTAATAATACGGCAACGCAGCATCTACATTATGAGCTCAAAGCGATGTGCTGCCAGCTAACTAGAAAATGATATTTTAGAGCAGTTGATACTACTGCATGGAAACTAGAAACTAAACGCACAGTCAACTTGCTTTCAGCGTACAGTTTTAATAATAATTTACCGTATTTTAATACAACTCCATCCCCATTCCAGAAGTCGCATAATCGACGGCACCACAGTCATCCAGGAGTGCTGTAAGGTAAACCCTAACGTTCCCAACCCAATGATAGACGAGAACGTATATCGTGCGGTGGAATCCCGCACCTTCTACCACACCGCGCCAATCACCGACATCACTATGGTCGAGGGATCTAAGCATTACCTCGTCAGTTCTTCAGCAGACGGCGTCATCAATGTCTGGAAGTAGACTGTGTGATCTTCGAACAGGTTACGCCAAGTTCTGCCTTGTTCTTTGACAGATGGAGGCTCATTTTTTATGACAGTGACAGTTGTAACTTCGAATTGACTTCGTTCCGTTTTTCTGTATGTTTACTTCGTTTGTGAAGCGATTTCGAAGTTAAAACTGTCACTTTTTTAAGTTGTCTAGGGGGGCTGATTTTTATTATTTCATTTGGTTCTCTCCTAGAGGACTTATTGTACTGTTGTATCAAAGTATCAAACCACAGGAATATCTAACGTCGCTTGTGGGATCATCAATGTTGGGTAATTGATCAAATAACGAGATTTTAAATGACAATTGACAGCTACTATGTAGCTTTTCTATCCTTATTTCGTGATAGCTGACGTCAAATCAGTGGAGGTCTAAATACTACCTCCTTAATTCCTCGGCAGATGGGGTCTTTATTTGTTAGAAATGATTAAAACAATAACAACTTGATAATAAAATAATTAAATTAACGTTTTATAGAAAACACTATAATGAATTGACTTAAGTTTGGTGCAGGCTGCTCAATTCTGCCATATGTATTAGTTTCGCGATACAGTTAAGCACATTTATAGGTTTTTTAACATTTATTTTGATTTATTGACAGAATTATTAGCATAGTTAAAGCATGAAGTGAAAGGTTTGTGTTTGAACTTACTTAGTTTTAATAATTTTTATGTTATGAATGACTCATCTATGTTAATTCATAGAGGTCGGTTGAATGTATTAGTTTTTTTTTAAGACAAGCTCACAAAGGCAAGTGTTATTAAATAATTTCAGCATGAAATTTTAAAGCATAATATTCTAGTAATTAAATATAATCATTAAAAATTAATTCTAGTATTATTTCACTGTTGTTTTCTATAAAATATATGTAAAATTTGCCTCTTGTGAGTTTCAAGGGCTCTATTTCATTGTTACGCCATGGTTGCACAACTAAGCGGACACCAATTATGGTTTATTTTAGGAACTTCGCCTAATATGGCTTCTTGTACCCACTCTTATAAATATAGCAGTGCTACATTGATACTATCAAAATAATACAAACTATCAATGGACAGTGAATACTTTGCATGATCAATTATGTTTTCAAATGAAATGTCAAGTAACTGGCGCCTCCATGGTTTTCCTGTGAAATAGAGCCCTAAAGATATGAGTTCCTAAAAAGATATAGTCGCATATGACGAAGGTAAAGATTTATTTACAGAAAACATACTCACGGAGCCTATTATTTTATTTTTTAAATTTATTCTTTTAGTTTCATATTTTTTCCCTATAATCAAATATCTTTTCAAATGGGCTGTGTATAATGATATGTTTTATGAGTGATGTTTGGGTAATGTTTTGTAAATTATAATATTTGCTAAATGTTACGGAGTTTTTTATATTGTCTAATTGTAGAAGTTATTTAGGGCTTTCGAAACAAATGACTGAAACATGTTTAATTAGAAAATTGATTTTATTTTTTAAATTGTATAGTTCCGCTTAGTTGTATTAAAGTTACATAATCCATAAGAATCTATTTTTATTAATAAAATTACATAATTAAATCCAGTTGTTTTATTTAAACAATCATAAATGTTGGTAAATCACAGATCTTTGCATTTTATTGCATCTAGAATAGTTCTGTTAAAACTTATTGTAGGTTTCCAAATGATTACATTAATTTATTCAAAAACTGAAATTGCACTAATCATTTTCTTGTGCATAAGACAGAATTCAAATACAAAGTAACAGATTGTTATTACTTTTTGTAACAACTAATTATTATAAAGTGTTCAAATTGCAATTTTGTGCCTTATTCTTTCTAATATATCTAAGTAAAATCTTAGGTAATTAACTCACAATTTTTGAAAAGAAAGAGGGCAAGTGTTTGAAGAGTAATAATTATGTCTACATTGTACTTCAATTGGTTATTTAAACTTGTCTAGTACATTATTTATTGCTATGTCTAATTACCAGTATAATAAAATTATATTCACCCAATGCTAATACAGATTGTGTACAGTACAGTGTATAAACAAGTAGGTGATGTAGAATATACGAGACAAAAGTGTGGGTAATGTTGAATAATAGTTTTTTTGTACATACAGTTATCTGGAAACTATCAAAAAAGGCATTTATTATCATTCAGCCCTGAATCTTATTTATATCTTACATCCTAATAGTTCCCTAATAGATTGTAGTAACTTCATAGAAGTTACTACAATCAAGTCCATGTTCTATCTTAACATCATTTGCTCTTTCCGCTCTCTGGTTTTTCATCGGGAATATCTTCCAACAGCTTTTGTAGATCTATGCCATCAAATTTAGCGTTCTGTGTGTTCGATGCGTGCGCCAAAAAGAGTTCTTTCAGGAATTGTAGCTCCTTTGTTAACGTTTTGACTTTTTCTTCCAACATTTGGTTTTCAGCTTTCAATTTATTGACCCGTGTGAAAGTTTCTTGTGTCCGCTGCTTTGACTTGAATCTGCTTTTCTTGACGGCCTGCAAAATAATAAAAGGTTATTAAACAAATTATAAGCATTCCAAAATAAATTAAAAGGGGTGAGTATCTGTTTCAAATGTTCAAAAGGAAACAAATAATTATTTTCACCTTTATATCTGACACTTTAACGGCCGAATACTGAAACACTACTTAAATCTGTCACTCAGCTGACGGGCTCCTAAATTTAAGTATCCTTCAATTTTAAATGGTATTCTCAAACGCTACTCAACGGATTTGAAGCCGTGATCAGCTAAGCAGCTCTCAAATGTTTACATAATGGCAACATTTACCAAAAAAAGTATGTTTTCATTTACACAAATGATAACTTTACGTCTTTTATACATTACACGCATTAACGTTTGGTTATGTATTGTTTTTCTCGCTCGGAATTGCATGTCATTATAATAATATTTTTCAATAGCGTTCAGCCTTATTGCGTTCCTGCGATTAGATCTAGGTATTTCCTCGAGGCTCGAAAGAAATGATAACGATGACACACATTATTTACCACTATTTAGGTCGATTTAGGTATAAGAATAGGATTTAAGATACCGCGCAAGCACTCTCAAATTTAACAGCTGCTTAAGACGATTTGACAGTTGTTTGAGTAATGCTTAGCGTTGAATGGCGTTTCAGTATGCGAAAATTCATTTAAGTGGCGTTTGAGTGCAACTTAATTTGAGAGGTGCTTAAAAATTGAGAACTGCTCAGATATTGTTTTGAGTATGCGAAATGTAAGTTTAGGAGCTGCTTAACTATTTGAGAAGCCGTCAAATATTTAAATGGCGTTTCAGTATTCGGCCGTAAGATGTTTTGATAAACTTGAATGTATTAGTGAATAACAAATAAACAAAAAAACTTTCACTAGGTCAAATACATCTAAATTGATTCAGTAGCTTAGATCTGAAAGTATAGATTGAGCCTGTTATGAAGCAGTGATGATTAATATGAATAAATTAAATATTATGGTTCTTCTTATCACTATGTGGATAGCGTCTATCTGTCCGACACAGTCACAAGCATAACGCGGTATTGCGTCGCTTGTAAGTGACAAATAAATAAAAAATTAAATAAATATTAATTACCTCGTTATTTCTGTCTCTCTTTCTTCTGTAATCGTCGTCCTCGTCGTCAGCGTCGCTAACACGCTTGCCCCTTTTCGTAGGAGGCATCTCCTCAAAATTATCGTCCAATATCATCAAAATGTTTGCACTCACAACCAACCGTACAGCTCGCGAGCTTACGGTTATCTGTCCAACAGCCACGAACTTGGTAGCTGGCGACGGGAATTACGCCAGATACTGTTGGAATTACGTCTTTTTTATAAATCGTGACGCAATGTTTTTCTGTTATTGTATCATGTTGTGAATTTTTATGATACGACTGCTGATTAGTTTCAGGTGCAGTTTGTAAAAACAGTGGCCAGTTTGTTTATGTTATACAGTTGTACGATAGGAACAACATTATAGAATATTGTATGGTCTATCTTTTCACCATTGGGATAAATCTTCAAGTTTTCCTCAAACAAAAAATAGCACAACAAAAAATCCCCAAAAACTTGACTGCGCTTGACTTGACTGACGTAGGTATGAATGACGTCACGTGAATGTCATGACAAACGTCAAATTATGTTTTTATGTCAAGTGATTGGGCTAGCAAATTACTATCTATACAGCCACAAGTTTAGAATTGCTTATATTAAGCACAATCACATCGATCATCGAGCAGCGATTTATAAGGAGACGGCATGGGTGTTTTAGTATAATAATATGCGGGGTGCTAAAACGGTTTACGCGTGCCTTTTGCTTATTGTATGATTGATTAGTTGGACTAATTATAACTTTTTATCATCTCTCTTGTGGTCACTGATCAGAGATTAAGATTTATTTAAAACAAAGGCACGCAAAAAATTGCACTACGAAAGGCCAATTTAATGCCGTATGGCCAGTATGGCATTCTCTGCCAGTTTTAGATAGAGTAAAGTAACGACTCAAGACAAAATCAATAATGACCAGGGTTTTTCGCATTCAACGCATAAGATACACAACATTTTGTTATTAAAATCGTTCTAAAGGGATGGTTTAGTAAAAAAAACAACACTATTCATCAGACCACATTATAATTCTTTCATTTTCACAATAAACTCCTAACAATTTCACGTAAATCTTATTTACACAAATAATGGAAGCATCCAATGCTAACTGATCTAATACTACTACCTATCCTCAAATTAGGTATTTAATGGGTAATATGCAACCGAGTCGATTTGCCTTCGTAGCAGTATCAGAAATTATTAAGACTTAGATTACGGTTTAGTTTATTTGGTATTAGTGGTCCATGGAAATCAAAATACCTACAAACTAGTTCATAGAATTAAAAGCAGAAATCTGATATCAAACATTAGAATTTTCATATTTTTCAGAACATAATAACAAATTAGAATAATTATAAAACAAAGTTACATAGACACAATAATGGTCGCGTTGCATGACCGTCTAAAACTATTTCATTGTAACACCACAAACATCCAATATTTTATAGTTAACACACAATGGTTCTTTTTATGTTTATCACAGAATTATAATAAAATTGAGAAACCAACGACAGTCTTATAGAACAAGAAATGCCTATTTTAGTCAAAGTAAATGCTACATTTTGTACCAACTTGGCAAAAGAGTTTTTTGAGTAATATTACGGTAAATTCCGGTTTTGTTAACCGCCACTGTCGAGTATTTCCGGTCACAAGTCATGTGACCGGAAGTAATTAACATTACTTTTATATCAAGTTTTATTTAAAATATTATTAATGTTGCTTACTCTTTTATTTATTTTTGACCAAGTTTGCCAAGCTGTACTCTACAAAAATATGCCAACTACATTTATACACGAGCAAGTAATTTATTTTTTAATAACGATTTGTTTATGAATTACATAATAGTTATCTATTATTTTCTTTTATGAGGTCGATTCTATTGCAGCCTAATGAAAATGAATTAATATGAGTTGTTTATGGGCAAATAACGTGGTATTTATTAGGTTTTTCTTGTTTGTTTGCAAATAACTGCACTTTACAGTGGAACTATTTGCCAGTAAACCACTCTTTGTAATCTAGCTAGCGCGGGTACAATATTAATTAATTAAATGATCATTATAATTAATTGTTGCGTTACATTCGGTATTATAGTTAAATTATTATGCATTTGGACAATAAACACGTAATATTGTCTGCTCTAGTACAATATTATGACTATTTTTATATTATTGGTTCTATTACATAGTAATTAATTATAAATATTTAGGCCTCTAATAAATTATTTGAAGCTTATGTTGTCCCACGTTTGGGCAAGGATATTTTATTTTAGTCAATAAAATTAAAAGTTAGGCCAGTAAAAGCCGAATCTGGTTTAATATTTAATTTTTATGTAGATATTTGGCACAAAAATGTTCAGAACGAAGTATTAATGTATTGATAACGTAACATGAATAATTAACGATGTTATGCCTCTTATTATGAAATTCATAAACCAGAATAGACTACCAATTCCAATTCTACAAAGCGTATTGAATTTAATGAGCATATTTTATAAGCCATTCAGTACCTAATGGAAATTCTGTATCTACCTCATAGTATGAGAGGTTTCATTAATTCATTCATTTGCTCAAAAAAGAGTTGTGTTGCAAAAACTTTTTCTTGTCTTTTTCAACCAACTTTTAGGCTATGCGTGCCCGGGTGAATGTTTCTTACCGTGACAGTATATTATCTAAATCTTTCTCTTAACTATGATATAATTCTTTGTAGATTACAGGAATTTCAGACCACAAAATATTAAGAAATATGAACAATGACAAATCCAGTAACAGGAACATATAATTAATAATTAATGTTTAATCCTTATGTCACAACAGGTTGGTTTCTACTGTTACTAAAGTTTTATTAATTTCAAGTCAAGTCTACTAATAGTCCAGTAGAATTAGCTTTTAAATCGGAAATAATTCCTACAAAAGATTTTATTGTTTTAATGGCTTCATTGGTTGCCCATTAAGATTCTCCTAAGTTTTCGAGTTCGACGGAGTTGTGCTTAAGTGGTGGGGGCCCCCGAAAGGGGCATTTTTTCGGTTTTCCGGTTATACCGCGTGAAGGACTTACCCTATCAAAAAGTGGTCTTCATGACGGTTGAAGGGCACTTAATCCTGCATTGAATAAGACCAAATTCATATGTTTTGGACAAACCGTTCTCGCGCTAAAGTTCGGCAAAGTAGAAAATATACGTATAATTAATGACCCTCTCCACGTCCAATGGTTTGTTACCCACAGGCTTCCAAGTCTTGAAAAGGGCCACCTCAACTAGTGTAACCCTATCAAGGCTTACGAGCTTGATGCGCCTATCCTTGTTCGTCCCAGCCGTTCCTTAACTGCGGTTGCTGCACCTCTTCCTGGCACTCACCTGAACGACTCTGTGTTACCTACTGTGGCTGCCCCTCTTCCTTGTATCCTCCTGCATGACTACGTTGCCTAGCCGTATGCCTGGTCTAAGGTTCGACGCCAAAAATCAACAACAACAAGTTCATATTAAAACGCTGAAGAGTTTTTTGTTTGTTTGTTTGAACGCGCTAATCTTAAGAATTACTAGTTTGATTGAAATCATTATTTTTGTGTTGAATAGCTCATACATTGAGGAAGGCTATAGGATATATACAATCACTCTACGACTAATAGAGGCGAAGCAGTAAAGAAAAATGTTGCAAGCACGGGAAATAGTATTTAAACTATTTTCACGCGTACGAAGTTGATTTTGTGGCGTCGAACCTTGGACCAGGCATATGGCTAAGCAATGAAATCGTACAGGAGGGTACAAGGAAGAGGGGCAGCCACATTAGGTAACACAGAGTCGTTCAGGAGAGTGCCAGGAAGAGGTGCAGCAACCGCAGTTAAGGAACGGCTGGGACGAACAAGGATAAGCGAATCAAACTCGTGAGCCTTGTTAGGGTTACACTGGTTAAGGCGACCCTTTACAAGGCTTGGAAGCATGTGGGTAACAAGCCATTGGACGTGGAGAGGGTCATTAATTATTCGTATATTTTCTACTTTGCCGAACTTTAGCGCGAGAACGGTTTGTCCAAAACATATGAATTTGGTCTTATTCAATGCAGGATTAAGTGCCCTTTAACCGTCATGAAGACCACTTTTCGATAGGGTAAGTCCTTTACGCGGTATAACCGGAAAACCGAAAAAACGCCCCCTTTCGGGGGCCCCCACCACTTAAGCACAACTCCGTCGAAGTCGAAAACTTAGGAGAGTCTTAATGGGCAACCAATGAAGCCATTAAAGCAAAAAAATCTTTTGTAGGAATTATTTCCGATTTAATCAATTTTTGTGTTTAATTCTACTGGCCTATAAAAATTAGCAGACCAATTATAATGTAGCTAGTGTTAAACCTAAGCTGATGTTTTGAAACGAAGCTAAAATTTAGTAAATCGTTATTCACAATAATAATTGAGCACTTTATCTTACATTTCAATCAAAAAACTCTCATAAACATGTCAATGGATTGGGAATAAAATTATGAGAATTAAACTCTGAAAGTTTCAACGTAAATGCAATAATTAATTATTTATTCACAAACACACACTTTAATAAGACGAATCCCAAGTCCAATCCCAGTTTATTTTGTGTCTCTACTACAGCAAAATGTAGAGGGTTATTGTATTTAATTTTGTACTCACTAGTTGGCGCCACTGGCAGGCAGGAGGAATTTTTAACCGACTTCAAAAAAGGAGGAGGTTCAATGTTCGACTGTATTTATTTTCTCTAGGCGCCAATTTGCTTCAACTTCACCAGTTAGAGTTGGAGCCAGTCTTTAAAGTTGAAGTTATTTTATATTTGTTTTATTTCTATATTTCTATACTTTCTCGCCTTGTAGTAGAGTTTTGAACTGGTAAGACTGTAAATCCACGTCTTTCAAACAAAGCCAAATATTCCGTAATAACTACGTTTAAAACCTCCGTCGGTCGTAGAATTTGGTCAATTAAATTTAACTACCAACATAAAAGATATTAATAAATATTTTTCAGTAGAAACCTCGCAGATAGTCAGACTATCTTAATTATTTTTGTTTAGAAAATAACTTTTTCCTTCTCTAGGACTAAGCTCACAAATTGTACGTAGTTGACGAGACAAAAATAGAGTTTTGTAGGTATGTCATTGGTACGTAGATAGTTTTTTTTTTTGAGAAAAATATATAATTTTTGTATAGGTACAGACGCCGGTACATCAAGCTAAAAGTGGAGCATTTTATATTGTTCTAATACGATTTTGCAACGAAAATTTACTAGACTCGTGTGCCTTCGACTGTACCTACATACCTTTTTAAGATATTTCATAAAAATAATGCACCGAGTTAAGATTTAAGTAAAGTACCTAATAATCAAGAGTGCGATTAATCTTCAAAAATAACGGCTAAAATTGAAAAAGGTAAATAATCACTTCCGAATAAATTTAACATTGTGATTAAAACTTAACATGATAGGTAGTGCTTTTCTTGAAATGTCCCTGATATTTGTAAATCTCAACGTTTTAACTATTAA